ATGCCCAACTATCATACTAGCCACCCGTTCTTACAATTCTAGTTGGACCGATTTCATACACCAACTACCCCATTGATGGAGATGCTTTTCATTATTTTTTTCCTACAATTTCATTCCATAGTAAATCATATATCGTCAGATAGGATGAGAATTAAAAAATTAGGGACATAATACTATCTAGAGATACGTTGTAAATGACGTACTTTGATGATCTAATTTAATACAACTTATAGATTAATTATGAGTTTTTAATGTTATATGAGACTCGTTTTCTATTTAAGAATTACCATTGATTAAGTCTATTAAGTATTAGTATCTGTCTTGTGTGATGTTATGAGATTTATAACCCCGTCTTGTTATCGCTTATTCTTTTCAATTTTTCTTAGATATTTAAATTAATTTCAAAAAGTCTCAAAATTACATGTGTGCTATGTATTGTTCAAAAACATTTCATAAGCCATTAGATTTTTTTCAAAGCAAAAAAAAACAAAAATACATAATTTAAGAGCAAAATGGTACGAATTTTCATTTGTATTAAAAAAAATGTTTGTAATTAGAATAACGTGAAATCCATAGAGGCATAATCTGAGAAACATGTTTTTTTTCCTTTTTTGTTTTTTGGGGGGAAGGGGGGTTTAAGAGCAACCTCTCTTAACTCCTAGCTATTTTTCCAGCTTATATATTCCATGAAATAAACGTTGAGAAAAGTAACACCTTACCCATCTGAGTCTATGGCCACTTCTCCCCAAACTGTCCACCATTTGATTTCTCCGGGAAGTATTACCATATCTCCGGCGACGGAGGCAGTTGTGTGAGGCAGAGCAGTTTCTTTGAAGGCAAAGCAGTGCTTAATCAAGGTGTTGGGTACTCTGTTATTCTTGGATTTGAGCTTTCTTTGCAGTCTTTACCTCCTTCCTGGTACCACCCTTTTCCTATCTCTCATTTTTTCTTTCATAGTCTGGCTAAACTGAGTCACCTCTAGTATATTACAAGGGATATGTCCTGTTTGATTATGGTGGGAAGAAAGAGAAACGATTGGAGATTGAAAAGGGTAAAAGAGGGGAGAAAATCAAATTACTTTCTATTATGTTGAAAGTTAGCAGTGAGGATTGCCTAATAACCACATGTTTCGTTCCTTATTAATTCATTATTTGGGTGTGCTTTTTTTTTTTTGGTGGGGGGGGGGGGGGGGGGGGGGGGGGAATTCAATGCACTATGATCCTAACTTCAAATTAGCAATATTGTGAGCATTTCCATTTCCATTACTATTCTTTGACTATGAACTTGTCTGCTCAATCATCCTGCTCGATCAGATATGGCTTGAGAAGCGATATGTTGGGTCCCGTCACACGTCGGAATGGTTCAACACTGCAGGCAGAAATGTTAAAACAGGACTTATTGCTAGTGTGATTGTATCTCAGGTAACAATGCTGAGATACCCACTTTTCTGCAAATTCAGAGGACCATGTTATTAAGCTAACATATCCTTTGACATATCTGATTTCTGAAGTGGACTTGGGCTGCAACAATCCTACAAAGTTCCAATGTTGCCTGGGAGTATGGAATTAGTGGTCCTTTCTGGTATGCAAGTGGGGCTACTATCCAGGCATGTTTATGCTCATCTTTCCTGTTTTGTTTTCATTCTTTAGCTCTCAGTCTCCTCAAGATGGCAGTGAGATATATGTTGTTGACTAGTTTCAGAAATGCTGATGAACAGGTGCTCTTGTTTGGTGTCATGGCTATAGAGATCAAAAGAAAAGCTCCTCATGCTCACACTGTTTGTGAGATTGTTAAAGCTAGGTATGGTGCATTTCATACTTGCAAAAATACAGCCAGCAAAAGTGGCTTCCCACAATTCATCATTCTAAAATTCTGCATTGTACCTGTTCAGATGGGGGACTGCTGCTCATCTTGTCTTTCTTGCTTTCTGCTTCTTGACAAACATTATTGTAACTGCCATGCTTCTTCTTGGTGGTTCTGTGGTTGTGAATGCACTCACTGGAGTGAACATTTATGCTGCAAGTTTTCTTATTCCTCTCGGTGTTATTGTCTATACACTAGCGGAGGGTTAAAGGCCACCTTCTTGGCAAGTTATGTACACTCTGTAATAGGTATAATACACTATATTGTATTTTTGCCTAAAAGGATGTGAACCGTTCTAGTTATGCTGATGCTTTTCTGAGGCTTTTTTGTTGGATTCAATTTCAGTTCATGTGGTTCTAGTCATCTTTGTGTACCTAGTGTACACAGCAAGCAGTGAGCTTGGCAGCCCAAGCATCTTATACCATCGCCTATTGGAGGTTGCAAGCAAATCAAGAAGCTGTCAGGAGCCACTCTCCAATGTTGGGCAATCTTGTGGTCCAGTTAGTGGGAACCAAAAAGGGTCTTACCTAACAATGCTGAGTTCTGGTGGACTAGTTTTTGGGATCATCAACATAGTTGGAAATTTTGGTACAGTTTTTGTTGACAATGTAAGTTTCAAAATTGACCATGTAACCAGCAGCAGCCTAATCTTTTCCATTCTCATAATTTGATACACTAGCATTCTAAATTTGTTAACATCGAAGCTGTAGGGATATTGGGTAAGTGCCATTGCTGCAAGACCATCATCGACTCATAAGGGCTACTTGTTAGGTGGGCTGGTATGGTTTGCTGTTCCATTTTCTTTGGCAACTGCACTTGGTCTAGGAGCACTAGCCCTAGATTTACCTATAACTGCAAGTGAGGCAAGCCATGGACTTGTTCCTGCGGCTACAGCTATTGCTTTGATGGGGAAAGGAGGATCTGTTCTTCTTCTCACCATGATTTTTATGTGAGTTACAATCAATGACATCTCATCCCATTCTAAGTTTTTTTTTTTTATGCTTCACATGTAGCTTGTATTGATGCAACTCCATCAAGGAAAGTGACTTTAACTCTGTCATTTGTTTTGAGATTCAAAATTTTCCATATGATGATCAGGGCTGTGACATCTGCTGGTTCATCTGAGCTAATTGCAGTCTCTTCATTATGCACATATGACATCTATCGTACGTATATAAATCCAGATGCAACTGGAAAGCAAATACTGAAAGTGTCAAGGGCTGTTGTGCTCGCCTTTGGATGTTTCATGGGAATTTTGGCAGTAATACTGAACAAGGCTGGAGTTTCTCTTGGTTGGATGTATCTTGCCATGGGTGTATTCATTGGCTCAGCAGTTCTTCCCATAGCTTTTATGCTTCTATGGCGAAACGCAAACGCAATAGGCGCCATTCTTGGGACAATTATCGGTTGCATTCTTGGGATTATCACTTGGTTGTCAGTTGCAAGTGTTGAGTATGGCAGGGTAAATCTTGACACAACTGGCCGAAATGCACCGATGCTTGCTGGAAACCTTGTTTCGATACTTACTGGTGGTGCCATTCATGTTATTTGTAGTTTGTTGTGGCCTCAAGACTATGACTGGGTTACCACTAAGCAGATAACTGTGGTTGAGAAGGAAAACAGTGAATTGCCAGCTGAAGAGTTCAGGGAGGAAAAGCTGGAGAGAGCAAAAGCTTGGATAATGAAATGGGGTGTTGGTTTTACTGTTGTGATTGTTATATTGTGGCCTCTGCTTACACTTCCTGCAGGTTAACTCTTCCCCCCCCCACAGTTATATCAAACCACTTTAGTTTTTGAGTTAATGCAGGAAGTTATATATTTTTTGGGTTAATGCAGGACAATTCAGTAAAGGGTACTTCACATTCTGGGCCATCATAGCTATAGCATGGGGCACCATTGGATCAGCCGTGATTATCGCGTTACCATTGATAGAAAGCTGGAAGACAATCCAAACTGTTCTTCTTGGCATGTTTACCAATGACAGGCTCATGGAAAAGGTTTAAGAATTGAATTTCAAGCTGCACACGATAATGCTGGCAGTGTCCGAAGCAGAGAGAATATACTTACTTGAGAAAGAGAAGGCCAAGAAAAAAGAAGCATCAGAGAGAGTCCTTCACTCTGCTGCTGCTTAATAGCTTTGTTTGAGTCAACTTTCTCTGCTGGGACTGCAATAGAAACACAATGCTTTTATTTGGATATCAAAGTGCTTAATTAAAGTTGATTTTCTAAATAATTATTGTTTCTTGGGCGTTCAAATGCTCCAATATCCCGTTTACATTGGCAACAAATTGAAATAGAGCTACTTGCGAGGATGATGGCGTGATATAACTGTTGTGCTGAATATTTACTTGCGATTCACTGTTGTATGGAATATTTACTTTGCACTTTGTTGCTTTCTCATTCAGTAACATAAAATGGTGATTGGCTGAGCCTTACAGCTGAAGTTATATGTACAAACAACAAGTTAACTAGATTTCCATGGAAGTTCAAGTACTCCATTTTCCAGTATACAGAGTAATGGTGGCAACAAATCAAAATAGAGCTACTTGCTAGGATAATGATGTGATATCACCATCGTATTGAATATTTACTCGGTATTGTGGATTATGCACTTCTGGAGGTTTGAACCAGAGTACTAAATCATAGTACATAGAGGTCTGTCTTATCCTTAAAAACATCTATCTAGTCAAGTCATTAGGGGTGTGTGGGGAGGGAGGGTGTGTGTAATAGACCTGTATTCATCTCATACTCTGTGTCTTCTAAACAATGAATAGCAACTGCAAGTGAATCCCAGTATAAGAAAGCACCTACAAGATATAAGAAACACAATACCATAACAACTAAACAAGTTAACCTAAAAAACCACTTCCATTACGTATTCGCTTAATAATACTGCATAGAGTTGTTGAAGTATGCATAAAATAGTAAACCATAATGCAAAACAAAGATCTTCCAAAAGCAGTACTCAAAATATGAAAAGCCAATTTGAAAAATAGCTCAAATAAAATCCATTAGTAATCAAAATCCAACCATTTTGTGAAGTAGGCACAAGTACTTGGTGAAATAATTCCATTGGGTGTGCATTGACTAATCCTGGGACAAACACCACATGGAATTGAAGCCATTGCCCCAATTTTTGGACCCTGTCCAATCCCTGCCCCAGTTGCACATCTATAACAAGACGTGCCAATAGGAATAGAATGATATTCTCCCAATCCAGTACTCTTCACCTCTAGAATTTCATTGTCCAAAACCATACACCTCAATATCTCGGAAATTTGCTGAACTGTGCACTCAACCTTAATGGCTCCACTTTTCTTGAAAAAATCGTGAACTTGCTCCGTTGTAGCAACCTTCCGACTACGTATGAACCTAAAGCAAAAATCTTTGAGAACAGAAATGAATTCTTTATCAAGATTCCCTTCCACATACCAGGAGCCACCCGTGACTTCCTTTGATGGTTCAAACTCAGCTGCCATGTAGTGTTTTCTCCCCTTGCTTTGGATGTTTACAACCTCCTTTATCAGTTTCTTTGCTAGAAGTGACTTGAGGGATTTATTAACAAGATTTTCTGGTAGGTTTGTGTCTCGTTTGATGTCTCTTGTCCAGATTCCCATATCTTCTTTACTTTTGATCACTGTGAGAACTGCACGGTCAGCATCGACAAGAGACTGAGTAAGGGGATTCGATTCTGGCCTTTTCCGCTTAAGAGCGGAAGTATCTTGTGAATGGCTCATTCCTGTTGAAAGGAAATGTAACAGAATGAAAACATTGGTACAATACATGAAGATGCGGTTATAGAACACTACATTGAATTCTCATGAGTCTGACTGAAAGATGTTAGTCACTGAAAACTTTGAAGGGACAAAATCCACTTTCTTCTCTTTTTTTGTTTCTATCTCACAAACCGAACAAAGGAAAGGATCCCCTGCAAACTTGCAGCAGTCACAAGGAAAGAGAAAGAACTCATTGGATAGGAACCACTCAACCTGTGAATGCACATTATTGTTTCAACCATAACAGTAGAAATCATATACACAATCATCAATTATGAAGGGAACTATTAAATCCACTAATATAGATAAAAAGAACTGGCGATAAGTATGGAATTTTAGTATACAAAGGCATCATTCATTTACCACGATTCCAACGACCAACACTGGCAATCGGAACATAATGATCCAAATCTAAACCACAAAATGAAGAAGCAAGGCAAACCCGTTTGAATAAATTTGATGTGTGCAAGGAAGGCTCTTAATTGTAAGAATGACACTATTATATTTCCAGATCAAAGAGCTACGCAGTGATATATAAAAGAGGTGAGAGCAGAGAGTTGACCCATGATACAACCAAAATCTGGATCAACATAACTAAACCAGGTTTGTATGGCGTTATAGATGGGGTAACTTCTTTTCTCCAAATCTACAAGTAGAACTTACCATTGACTGATCATCAACTTTGTCAGCATAAAATAGCATGTTGTCTGTAAATGACACAATTAAGTATAGAACAAAAGGCCTTGTTTAATGGGTTTCTAGATTTCATATGTCACCGGTAAAAACAAATACTTGTGGTAGGTACACGGTTTCAAATGCCAACTAAATAGGGGAGTGTTCTAGAGAGAAACGAATGGTGCCTGTATCCTCTTCCTCAAACAGTCAAACACCATCGAGTCTCAGATAATTAAGTACATAAACAAAAGAAAATACATGTACACAACAGTGGGTGGGTCTATGTCTGTTGGTTTAGAGATTCAACAAACGTGTGGTTCACTGGAATGAAAAAGAAGCTGGGGCCTGAATTAGTTTCGTAAGTGCAGAGCATAGAACACGACAAGTAAACCATGATCCTAAGCTATAATTGTTCTTGCAACCTGGACCAGTTCATGTCCAATTCTGATGCACCGATTTCTCATAAAAACTTCTTCAAAACTCAACAATGTCTTGAGATTAAATCAAATGTCTTTGTCTCGAAAATAATAACAAAATCCCAGAACAACAGCAACACGCAAAGAGATAGGAAGAGCCTTACATAGACAGAGGGGATATACGACCGCCGTCGTCTTCATGGGTTATGCGGCGGAGGAGGGAGTGGAGATAGAGGGTGACGCCAAGCGAGAGGCGGGGCGCGGCCATAATTATTGAACCCGGCTCGGACAGCAACCCAGTGAAGTCACCACGTCGATGAGTCACTTCAACCGTTGGGTCACCAATCGGACCCATATTTCCACTAAAGTTCAGCGGCTTCAATGGGGGTGAGGTGATAAAACAACCAAAGCAGAGGGCTTTTAGGAAAGAAACATGCCATTATACCTCTGAATGATTAGGTACATTACCCATATTAGGGCTTTTAGGTGATAAAACAATCCAGGTTTAGAATCAATTAGGTAATTCAAATGTTTAATGTGAGAGAGAGAGAGAGAGAGAGATGAATTTGATTTGTAGAGTTGCTGCTATGAATGATTTGTAAGATTGTTAGGTGCGAGAGATTAGAGAGACGAGGTGAGACTGTGAAGTGAGAGGTGAGAGAATTTACCTGACGGAGACGACCGAGACGATGTAGGGCAAACGCCGAACGACGGTTGCAGCGTGCGAGGACGATTGGGAGAGATGACCTGAGACTCAGTCCTGAAAGATCTGTTCGATGAGCGGCAAATTTTTAGGGATAGAGGTTGATTTTTATACCAGCTATTCAGACCGGTCCTGACTAAACAGAACAGTCCGGTTCATACGTATTTTATAAAAACTGCCGGGAAAATTAGCAACCCATCACGGTCCAAGAACCGGTTCATCGGGTGAACCCTCCGGGCCGGGCCATATTTAATAGTAAAATTTGGAGATATATGTACTTGTTTGGATTTAAGTCCGCAAAAAAAATTTATTTGTTATGAAAATAATTTTTTGTCAATTTTATCAGACTATTCATTCTATTTAGAAGTAAAGTAAAACTAAAAATTAAAAATTCTTCAATTTTAAGAGTTTGACTAATATTAAAAAAAAATTCTCTTATATCTATCTATATCCATATATAGGTTAGTATTATATTTCTCTCATATATATAAACTAGAAATTGCTCGTGTCTGAAGGCACTATGTAACTCATAAAAAAATTACAAACATGTATCCATGTTCGAAATAAATATATTACACAAAATTTCAATAATTGCTAATGAATATGACCCCACAAAGTAAAATTTAAATAAACCAAGATGTTACAAACTAAGATATTTGGTGTCATTGACCTTTAGATATCAAATGACAAAGTCCTAAAACCTTTAAAAGAAAAGAAAATAATAATCTAAACTCAGAGTTAGAATTTCAAATAAAGTAAGCTTGTTATGATAATTAAATTTCATATTTTATAAAAAAAATTACACTATTAAACTTGTTAGGACCATACCTAATAACCATAAAAAACAAATCATAATTAATTTACACTAAATTAAATTCCGAAAATTTCAACAAAAAGGGGAGCATGCCCCGTGAACGTGCAGTCCCATGACTATCCTATTCATCACAAAGATGTAGTACCACCAAATTTTGCTTCATAACATCTGATGCCATTTGGTACAAATTGTCTAAGGAAATCAAAGAACCTCTCGTCTGAAAAATTAACAAATTAACAAACTTCCATTAGCGATTCACACACATACACATACCACTTGTTGATTTATTATAACTTTATGTCTAGAAAGATCGTATACATGTATACCCCTTACCCCACACCAACACAAACATAAACTTTCATTCACACTACTGTTACCTCAAAAAATACATAATTGTGGGGTGACATAATAAGAGGGTTAAGTGAAAATTTAAATAGATAAATTTAATACCTAAATAAAGATAGAAAGTGCAACAATGATCACTTTGTTAATTATAATTAAGATATAAAAGGCAATGTGACAAACTAATGTAGTAAATATAAAATTTTCAATTGTTATTGCTAAATAAATGTAGTGTAGATTCATTAATCTACAACAATTACATACAAAGGTTTCTAATTTAATTCCACAACGTACAAAATTACTTTTTTTAACCTTTTAGATGTATTTTTTAGCAAAAAATAACTTACTTGACTGGTCCTTATACCATGGAGTTACTCTATATGTTAATTAGAATGTCTAACATTTAGATCATCTTCAAAATGGAAAACTCCTTTGGAGATGACGATGCACACAACACAACTGGAGCTCAATGTGACTTTTGATCGGATGGCTAAGGGGCATAATTAGGTGAATAGAGAGCAAGCATAATAGAATAAAATGTTCTTAGTCATAAAACACAACATTTTATCCAGAAACGCAACATTCCACCTATTGAGATCTCACAAATCAGAAAAAACGTACACAATCAATTTGGTGTAATCATTGTCAAGACATCGTGGTAAAATGTATTATGACTATGACTATAAATATTAATGTTCTCATGACACCGTAATAGAATTATTACTATTGGCAAACACATTATCTGATGGCATACACAGTTTATTGAACTCCACTCAAGCACAATGCAATTTAGGAACTAAAAACAACTCCTCATTGTTCCCAGACAAAACATAAAGCCTCTGTCAATCAAAAAAACAAATAACTTTTCCTCAAAAAAATGAATTTGCATGGGATAATTTGAGTTAATCATTTCGAACTCAAATCCATAATGCCAAACCTAAAAACAATGAATTCCAATAGTGAATCCATGTGGGACAACACACAAATGGAGGACTTCAAGGGCTTTGTCTTGATCCAAATAGGTCCATCTTTCAAAACAATGCATTCATAAGTGTGTATTAGCATAGTCCAAAGTTCCTGAAAGGGCAATACACACGACATGATTTCAAACTTTGATGAAAATGAATCTAGGAAAAACTTGGATAAAAATAGATAGAGTTAAGGCCAATAAGTAAAAACCAAAAAGAAAAAATAAGGAAGAAAAAGTGGGTGAATGTGGCAAACCCCATAAGTGGGAAAAGCAAGCAATGAGAGTGCTCGGCCCAAATATGCCCTTGCAAAGCACCCACTACTAAACCTACACAAATAAATCACCAATATCCTCAAACTTGCATAAGCGCTAAACACCCATCACCGCCTAATGCTATAAATGACAAAATAAAAAAAACACCCTTTGAAATAAAAATAAAGAATTGAATCAAAAATTAAGTACAAAGCCAACATCATTTTAAGAACTTACTCTCTAAACAACAGAATTTTATGAAGCAAAATCACAATCAAAAAAATATTTAATTTATTAATGGATGAAGCAAATGCATTATTGTTTGATGCATAATCTTGAGGGCAAGTTTAAGTCAAATTTAAACAGTAAATCAAACTAAGAATTGATTAAAGATTGAAATTCTGACACAGCCAAAAGCAAGGTTTCAAATTGAGGACCATAGATTATCTTAAAGTTTAGATATGTAGACATTACAACCACTAATGATATGAAATGTCTACATTTGAAAATGATCTACTCCATAATAGAGAATGCAAGAAGGAATCAAAACTTCGTGTATAAAACAAAACAAAAAAAAAAAACATGTACTGATTAATCTATAATCAATTCAAGTGGACCGAGAAACCATCAATGAAATACTTACACCTAAGTGTCTCGTTTGGCTCATTTTCCTACCATATTTTATATTTAACATTTTGTCAATTCATGTTCAAGCAATCAAACCAAACTAAACCTTCATATCAGATCCAAATAAAAACCAATCTAAACCGCTCCCACTGCAACACACGTTGCATATATCACGTCTTAGCAATTATAAGTAATATAAAAGACAAATATACATAATTCTATTCAAAAATCAATAGAAATTAAAAGAACGATACCTTTTAAGAGCCAATCTCTAGAATTTCGGGATCTCCTCAATTAATTCACGCATCAATAGCCAATACAAACACCCACTCCTGGGGGCTGCCTCATCTTTTCTGAAAAACCATACAATTTAAACTTAAATTCCAAAATTCAATCCAAAACCCTGGAATTTGGACATTTTGAAACAATTAAGCAGTTACTAATTAGAGACTGTGTCACATAGACAAATATTAGATCCAATCAACTCTTTAATTTGAACCAATCACCAATCTCAGATTTTGAACTCAAATCACCTGCAACAAACCATGACCTAACTCAAAATCACAAATACAAAATTAAGGTACCAAATTACTATACAATCAAAAACAATTTCGGTTGCAATCAATACAAAAAAACAATATTTAACAAAAAAGTGTTATTTCTGTGAAGATGGGTGGGTTTACGGTGGGCGTGAAAGAGAAACGCTATGGCGTGGGGTGGGGTAGGGGAGTCGATAGCGTTGGGATGGTAAACGTCGTTGGCAAGAGAAAAATCAAAGAAAAAGGGAAGAGAAGACGTTGGATAGAGCCAGCGAGAGAGAGGCTTTTCGCGAGTGAGGTAAAGCCAGTGATAAGATAGGGCTGAAATTCGGGGGATGAGGAGGGAGAATAAAAATATATGGACGGGAGAAATTTTTTGGGAGGGGATGAGGGAGAGAGAGAAAATCGAAGGAGAGGAACAGAGTTATAGAGTGGGGGGGAGCAAAACCTGGTATTGTTGGTGGTGATGATGGCTGGCGGTGGCTGGCAACGGCGGTGGCGGTGGCTGGCAACGGCGGTGGCGGTAGCTGGCAGCGGCGGAGGCAGGAGAGAGAGATAAATTATGAGAGACAGTGAAAGGAGGGCGTATGGAGAGATGTATTTCGAGTGGGAGTGAGTGAGAGACGAACGGGAGAAATCAGAAATATATTTATGATTGAGATAAGTCTTGAGAGTCTTATAATTATAGGCTTATTGAAATTGGAGGATCGTTAGATCAAAAGTCTAGAATTAAATTGAGCCACGAAAAATTTAAAATAAAGAAATTTAATTATTTATATATATATATATATATGTGTGTGTGTGTGTGTAGGGAGAGAGAAAGGAGACGAGACAGTGTGTTTAAAACGTCTAAAAGATAGATTAGAGAAAGAGAGTTAGAAAATATTGGTGGACAAAAAAATAAAATTCATTATTCACTTTAAACTGTCAGATCACTATTTATGAAATGATCTGAACCGTCTTTTATGTTGAGATTACGTTGTTCGTTGGATGTGTTTATATTTTGTCTTAAAAACAATTTGGATAAAAAAAATAGTAACATGTTCATTCAATATTAATATTTTAAAAAAATAGCAATAATAACATATTCAACAAAAAATAATAACATGTTCAACAAAAATAGTAACATGATTAACAAAAATAGTAACATGATTAACAAAAACAGTAACATATTTAACAAAAAAAAAACAATACGGAACATTAAACAAAATAAAAAATAAAAAATAGTAACATGATTAACAAAAACAGTAACATATTTAACAAAAAAAAAACAAAACGAAACATTAAACAAAATTAAAAATAAAAAATAGTCACATTTTAACCCATAACTAGAGGAAGAAGCCTCTAAATTTTCATTGTTTTTTGCATTCCTAATTTTAAAATGTGATTCATTGTTATTAAATTAAATGATATAGGTATCAATTTTTTGGATATTTTGTTGTGCAATACAATCGAAAAATGTTTGATTGTGTTACTTGTAGAAAAAAGTTGATGTTACTACGAGGAAAAAAGAAAATTATTTTTACTTATTCGATGACTTGACATTCACAAGTAGTGATGAGTGTCCTAATTCAACTGACTATTATGTATTACTACTCTAAATAATATAATTTTTCGATTTATGGACCATATTTTATGAAAAATAAGCGAAAATTATTGTTATTGTGAAGGAAAAAAAATATTTCACTGATTTTATTGTGAAAAAAAAAATCTTGTTAATGTTACTATGAAACATATATCCTCCTGAGTTTTGTTAAAGTCATTGTGTTACTGTGCATAAAAATTTGATATTATTGTGAAAAAAAAAATAGATGTTATATTCCGGTTTGTAATTGTTATTGTGAAGGTTTGCATTTGTTATTGAATGAAAGGGTCTTCTTCTAACGAGAGAGAGAGAGAGAGAGAGAGAGAGAGAGAGAGAGAGAGAGAGAGAGAAATTTGAATTTCAATTTATGAGTAAATTAAGGGATAATAATTTCTAATTTAAGAAATTAATTTAAAGTTATTTTCAAGGTTTTTAAGGTTTCTATAATTGAACACAATAACACTGTTAAGGATAGGACTTAAGTACTTATTAGTAAAATAAAAAACGGACTTATCACCAAATAAATTTTCTTGACGGATTCAAGTCATTATAAGTCCATCCAGGATGATTCAACCTCAATTTTCACTATTAATAACACCGCTCAAGACTTACTTGACTTGTTTGGATGATATTTGGGGGAGAGATTGGATTTGTTTCCCCAAATCCTTTCAAACTCAACCCCCTACCTTTGTTTCGATCAGATTCATTTATGAATCTAATTTATACTCGCGTTTAATATGTAATCTATATATTTGCAGAACTCATAGATGTATCACCATTATCAATTTATCATCATATATTTATCCTATGAATGATTATATTGTCTATTGGCTAATCCAATTCATACTCGGTATTTGTTTAACTCGATGGTACAAATGATATTTGTCTCACTAATCCAAGTATAACTTAACCGGAACCCATCCCATAGATTTGATGAAACCCACATTCAACAGTTTAAAGTGTCGGGCCAACTATGGGTTGAGACTGCTGTCCATGACTTGAAAAATTCATCCAAATAAAAGTTTTAAAAGTTCATTAGACTATTTTTCTCAAACTCATGTTGTTGAACTCTTCCCATACCAACTTACCAAAAACTCCAAAACTATTCAATTAGCAACCCAGCCCGGTGTAAGAACCGGTTCACTGGGTGAACCCTCCAGGCCTGGCCAAATTTGTGCACAATAGTACACAGACGGTGTTAATTCCATACCTCCAAAGAAATTATTAAATTGGGTGACTAATACTTTTGCAGTCTAAAATATTATCAAATTCTTAATTTATATTTTAAAAGATTAATTTATATTACACATTCGATCAAATAATAAAAATATGGTCCAAAAATAAATATTCGTCGCTTTTTCTAACAGATTTTTTTGTTGTATTTGTGATATTATCCTTTTTTTATACACAGTCATTTGTATAACTCCCAATTATAAGTGTTTTAAATAGAAATTTGGTATTCAATTTTCTTGAAATCGAGTATATTACTAATATTTTTTTTGAAATTGAAACATAAAAATTTTAATGTTTCAAGATGTAAATTGAGAATGTAAAAATATTTCAAAGTACGAAAATGTTGTTTGTCCTTGTTATAATACATAAATTCCAGAAGCAACTTAGCACAACTGAACTGAAACTCATTGCAATTAAACTGTGGATCACCCAGAATAGGTAAATTGGACATTGCTTGAGGAATGCCCATTTTGATACTAAGTAATATAGAAATTTTTCAATGGCACCATTCCATCTGCCTCTGGTGATTATGTTTTTTATTTCCAAAAAACAAAGGGAAGAAAAGGAAATTAAAGTGCAACAAGACAGGCTCCTCAATATCGACTCAAACCGTGCAATCTCTGTCTCTCTGCGTCAACCCAATATACAAGCTAGTTTTCCTGGCCTTGAGCTATATGAAACTCCCAGTAAACTCATGTGGTAGCCTTTCTCACTTGTACACATAATAATGTGCATATCCTCCAAAACGGCCTCATCCACAGATGCCCTGCAGTTTTAGCTACCCTTCCAAGTAATAACCACCAACTACTTAGCCATACCATATTAATCAGCCTCATGATTCATCACTGCTACTTCCATTGAAGCATTGTGTGTGTGTGTGTGTGAGAGAGAGAGAGAGAGAGAGAGAGAGAGGTTACACCAACAATGATAAGAGCTTACTTACTACCAATGTACAAGATGCAATTTGAATATAAAGAGTGTTGGCAAGTTCTCTTGCAATCGGAGCATCTTACCGATATCTGAGTTTTTATCTACATTTCTGATCTTTTTGGACACCCCTACATATCAATAACACTACAAGATTGGATTAAATGGGGTTGCAGAGCCGCTGGTTGCATTCCCAAACATACAAGCTGGCCATAAGAATCTATGCACCAAAGTTTACAAATTGGGAAATGCACATTGAGGTAGGTACAGGGATTTCGGTGGCAGTGAAGCAGCAGCATCTCTACAGAAGGTAGTGGTGGTGGTACCCTTCAATTCCACATTTTACCTTGCAGGAGGTGCAATCAGTGAATCAACCTCCAAGACTCGGCAAATGGTTTCCAGAATGTATCAGAGTGGAATTCTTAATCTGTCTCATCCATTAGCAACCGGTAATTGTTGGACCAAAATAATTTTTTTAGTGTAAAAAACTGAATTTTGGTCGACTTTTAACTTAAATTAAAGTGGGACTCAATTGTTATTTTAAATAAAATTTTGTGGGTTCATATTCTGCTCCGAAAGGAGAATAATGTAGTATATTCACTTGCTCAAATCAAGTAACAAATGAATGAGAAAATAGGTTCCAAAGTGACACTTTTGAAATATGAAAATAAAGAAAGTGCAATATGGGATGTGACACCAATCCCACATTGATCGAGGAAAAATTCAACATGTGCATATATAAACCAAGTTTGCTCTATTGAATTGGACCCCAAAGGGTACCACAATTTTATGAACAGAGCAAGCACTTACATGCCTTTGGTTCAATCACACATGCGTGCGTGCCGCCCGACCGAGCTCGAGTACGGGTTAGACCAAGTTTTATTTTTTGGAAAAAATTCATTTAATAATTAGGCGTAAATTTCTTAACCCTCAATTTAATTTCGGTACCCATTGAATTACACTAGTTCGGATTTGTTACTATCCTCCAAGTAATAATTGGGCGTGAATTTTTTAACCCGAAATTTAATTTCGGTACTCATTGGATCGCATTGATTCGAATTTGTTGCTATCCTCCGAGTAATAATTGGGCATGAATTTCTTAACCCAAAATTTGATTTTGATACCCATTGGATTGCACTTGTTCGAATTTGTTGCTACCCTCCATGTTCGAATCCAGTAGGAAATTGAGTTATGACTGTTCATGGAGAACAGTTATTCAAGGTGTCTATTGGCTGTTGTGTCTTGTTATTCTGAGTTTTGTCCTTTAGTAAAGTGATTGTCCGAAAAGTCACCAATGTGTCTATAAATACTCAAACTCATTTCCATTAATTTAATTCAATTAATCAGTCCATTAAGGCAGTAAACAATTTGCATTTCAGCATTAAGATAGTGCATTTATAGGGCATTAAGACAATGCATTTATAGAGAGTACACATCACGATTTTTGGTTCCTTGGACAAGTAAATTAGAGTGCTACTTCTGTTCGTGTAAATATCATTATATTCTAGAAGGCAGACGCTCGGTATTTCATAAGCACCATGTGGGGGGTAAAATCTGTCTTAAGAACATAGTGTCAAACACTAGTCTTGATCTACCCAAAGTTCAATAAAAATTTATGTTCTGTAATCAAGTTAGTTTTTATATTAGTTTGATAAAAAATTACGTGTAACTCTTTTGTGTAACTCTTTCGTTTCTGTGTAACTGTTTATTATAACTGTTTTGTTTTGTGTAACTATTATGCGGTTCACATTTTATTTTATTTTATGTTAGATAATATGAGAAATATTAATAAACTGATTCTACTATATTTGGAACACACAATTTCCAACAGTAATCCCGGGTTTCAAGCTGCTTCGTATAAACAAGACTACTTACGCAGCTTGTTTCGAATTTCGGCAAAGCGATCGGAGTCCACCTCTTTTCTGGCAGACGAGTTTGTTCCAGCCTGTTCTTTCAGAGCTTCCTTCTCCAATTTCTTCTTTTCAGCCTCTGCCTGCTGTCCATTCTCGTCGCGTGCTTTATTGAACATCTTGGTGAAGACGACCAAAGTTTGTGTCACTGCAGACAGAAAGCCAAAAGAGCTTAACATGGACATGGCTGGCATATGCAAACCGTCAAATAAGTTACCGACTCATTCCGGTTTTAAACATGTAATTGAACAAAGCAAAATTTCTCTGACAAAGAATCATTCTTGTAAATTTACTCATTTATGTGTCGTCGAACATTCACACCTTCAGACTAGGTGAAAAGATCCATTCCAGACAGGTTGTGAAAAAACCTAAAACTCAGATTATATATAAACACAAAATATATATCATAAAGTAGCGTTGGCAGAAGGAAGATGGCAACCTTGTTTTCAATCTCGTCATAATATTTGACCTTCCTATAATTTTTTTGACGCTTATCAAAAATAAGTTTTAATTTGAACTCTCTTCTATACTACTTTGAATTTACATAATATTTATAATTAGGATATTAGGGTTCATTTATACACACTTTGACTAATTTCTTTTTAATTTAGTGGTCGAAAGTAACAAATATATATTATTTTTAATTAACTATTGTTACCACGAACATTAACGTTTGAATATTTTTTGAATGCTCACCTAATCTAATCTGACTATTATGTTAATAATTTTTTTGCATCCACCCCACCATTGAAGAAGGAAGATTCTCTTTTGCTATGGACAGCCAAATATATCTTTCATAATTCTTGATAATTTTAAGTCACATAAAATCCAACTCCCAAGTGTTAGTCAGTGTAAGAAATTAAAGAGTTGCTTACATCTAAGGGAAGAATAAATATCTATGTGAGACTCACAATTATTAAATTTTGCGTAACCAACGGCGACAGGAGCAATGACTTTGAAGATTCCAAAGTCAAGGGAATACGCCCAACCATTGTACTAGTCACTCGTTCTTACAATTCTAGTTGGACCGATTTCATACCCCAACTACCCCATAGATGGAGATCCTTTTCATTATTTTTTTCCTACAATTTCATTCCATAGTAAATCATATATCGTCAGATAGGATGAGAATTAAAAAATTAGGGACATAATACTATCTAGAGATACGTTGTAAATGACGTACTTTGATGATCTAATTTAATACAACTTATAGATTAATTATGAGTTTTAATGTTATATGAGACTCGTTTTCTATTTAAGAATTACCATTGATTAAGTCTATTAAGTATTAGTATCTGTCTTGTGTGATGTTATGAGATTTATAACCCCGTCTTGTTATCGCTTATTCTTTTCAATTTTCCTTAGATATTTAAATTAATTTCAAAAAGTCTCAAAATTACATGTGTGCTATGTATTGTTCAAAAACATTCATAAGCCATTAGATTTTTTTCAAAGCAAAAAAAACAAAAATACATAATTTAAGAGCAAAATGGTACGAATTTTCATTTGTATTAAAAAAAATGTTTGTAATTAGAATAACGTGAAATCCATAGAGGCATAATCTGAGAAACATGTTTTTTTTTCCTTTTTTGTTTTTTGGGGGGAAGGGGGGTTTAAGAGCAACCTCTCTTAACTCCTAGCTATTTTTCCAGCTTGATATATTCCATGAAATAAACGTTCAGAAAAGTAACACCTTACCCATCTGAGTCTATGGCCACTTCTCCCCCAAACTGTCCACCATTTGATTTCTCCGGGAAGTATTACCATATCTCCGGCGACGGAGGCAGTTGTGTGAGGCAGAGCAGTTTCTTTGAAGGCAAAGCAGTGCTTAATCAAGGTGTTGGGTACTCTGTTATTCTTGGATTTGGAGCTTTCTTTGCAGTCTTTACCTCCTTCCTGGTACCACCCTTTTCCTATCTCTCATTTTTTCTTTCATAGTCTGGCTAAACTGAGTCACCTCTAGTATATTACAAGGGATATGTCCTGTTTGATTATGGTGGGAAGAAAGAGAAACGATTGGAGATTGAAAAGGGTAAAAGAGGGGAGAAAATCAAATTACTTTCTATTATGTTGAAAGTTAGCAGTGAGGATTGCCTAATAACCACATGTTTCGTTCCTTATTAATTCATTATTTGGGTGTGCTTTTTTTTTTTGTTGGGGGGGGGGGGGGGGGAATTCAATGCACTATGATCCTAACTTCAAATTAGCAATATTGTGAGCAGTTCCATTTCCATTACTATTCTTTGACTATGAACTTGTCTGCTCAATCATCCTGCTCGATCAGATATGGCTTGAGAAGCGATATGTTGGGTCCCGTCACACGTCGGAATGGTTCAACACTGCAGGCAGAAATGTTAAAACAGGACTTATTGCTAGTGTGATTGTATCTCAGGTAACAATGCTGAGATACCCACTGTTCTGCAAATTCAGAGGACCTTTTATTAAGCTGACATATCCTTTGACATATCTGATTTCTGAAGTGGACTTGGGCTGCAACAATCCTACAAAGTTCCAATGTTGCCTGGGAGTATGGAATTAGTGGTCCTTTCTGGTATGCAAGTGGGGCTACTATCCAGGCATGTTTATGCTCATCTTTCCTGTTTTGTTTTCATTCTTTAGCTCTCAGTCTCCTCAAGATGGCAGTGAGATATATGTTGTTGACTAGTTTCAGAAATGCTGATGAACAGGTGCTCTTGTTTGGTGTCATGGCTATAGAGATCAAAAGAAAAGCTCCTAATGCTCATACTGTTTGTGAGATTGTTAAAGCTAGGTATGGTGCATTTCATACTTGCAAAAATACAGCCAGCAAAAGTGACTTCACATCAGTTCCGTCATTCTAAAATTCCGCGTACTTTTTTCCTCAATTGTAACTGTAAATAATCTTTGTGCTACTTCAGATGGGGGACTGCTGCTCATCTTGTCTTTCTTGCTTTCTGCTTCTTGACAAACATTATTGTAACTGCCATGCTTCTTCTTGGTGGTTCTGTGGTTGTGAATGCACTCACTGGAGTGAACATTTATGCTGCAAGTTTTCTTATTCCTCTCGGTGTTATTGTCTATACACTAGCAGGAGGGTTAAAGGCCACCTTCTTGGCAAGTTATGTACACTCTGTAATAGGTATAACACTATTTTGTATTTTTGCCTTAAAAGGATGTGAACCGTTCTAGTTATGCTGATGCTTTTCTGAGGCTTTTTTGTTGGATTCAATTTCAGTTCATGTGGTTCTAGTCAGCTTTGTGTACCTAGTGTACACAGCAAGCAGTGAGCTTGGCAGCCCAAGCATCGTATACCATCGCCTATTGGAGGTTGCAAGCAAATCAAGAAGCTGTCAGGAGCCACTCTCCAATGTTGGGCAATCTTGTGGTCCAGTTAGTGGGAACCACAAGGGGTCTTACCTCACAATGCTGAGTTCTGGTGGACTAATTTTTGGGATCATCAACATAGTTGGAAATTTTGGTGCAGTTTTTGTTGACAATGTAAGTTTCAACATTGACCATGTAACCAGCAGTCACCTAATCTTTCCCATTGTCATAATTTGATACACTAGCATTCTAAATTTGTTAACATCGAAGCTGTAGGGATATTGGGTAAGTGCCATTGCTGCAAGACCATCATCGACTCATACGGGCTACTTGTTAGGTGGGCTGGTATGGTTTGCTGTTCCATTTTCTTTGGCAACTGCACTTGGTCTAGGAGCACTAGCCCTAGATTTACCTATAACTGCAAGTGAGGCAAGCCGTGGACTTGTTCCTGTGGCTACAGCTATTGCTTTGATGGGGAAAGGAGGATCTGTTCTTCTCCTCACCATGATTTTTATGTGAGTTACAATCAATGACATCTCATCCCATTCTAGAGTTTTTTTTTTAATGCTTCACATCTAACTTGTATGGATGCAACTCCATCAAGGAAAGTAACTTTTAGCTCTGACATTTGTTTTGAGATTCAAAATTTTCTATATGATGATCAGGGCTGTGACATCTGCTGGTTCAGCTGAGCTAATTGCTGTCTCTTCATTATGCACATATGACATCTATCGTACGTATATAAATCCAGATGCAACTGGAAAGCAAATACTGAAAGTGTCAAGGGCTGTTGTGCTCGCCTTTGGATGTTTCATGGGAATTTTGGCAGTAATACTGAACAAGGCTGGAGTTTCTCTTGGTTGGATGTATCTTGCCATGGGTGTATTCATTGGCTCAGCAGTTCTTCCTTAACTTTCTTGCTTCTATGCCGAAAAGCAAACGCAATAGGCGCCATTCTTGGGGCAATTATCGGTTGCATTCTCGGGATTATCACTTGGTTGTCAGTTGCAAGTGTTGAGTATGGCAGGGTAAATCTTGACACGACTGGCCGAAATGCACCGATGCTTGCTGGAAACCTTGTTTCGATACTTACTGGTGGCGCTGTTCATGTTATTTGTAGTTTGTTGTGGCCTCAGGACTATGACTGGGTTACCACTAAGCAGATAACTCTGGTTGAGAAGGAAAACAGTGAATTGCCAGCTGAAGAGTTCAGGGAGGAAAAGCTGGTGAGAGCAAAAGCTTGGATAATGAAATGGGGTGTTGGTTTTACTGTTGTGATTGTTATATTGTGGCCTCTGCTTACACTTCCTGCAGGTTAACTCTTCCCCCCCACCCCCCACAGTTATATCAAACCACTTTAGTTTTTGAGTTAATGTAGGAAGTTATATATTTTTTGGGTTAATGCAGGACAATTCAGTAAGGGGTACTTCACATTCTGGGCCATCATAGCTATAGCATGGGGCACCATTGGATCAGCTTTGATTATCGCGTTACCATTGATGGAAAGCTGGAAGACAATCCAAACTGTTCTTCTTGGCATGTATACCAATGACAGGCTCATGGAAAAGGTTGAAGAATTGAATTTCAAGCTGCACACGATAATGCTGGCAGTGCCCGAAGCAGAGAGAATATACTTACTTGAGAAAGAGAAGGCCAAGAAGAAAGAAGCATCAGAGAGAGTCCTTCACTCTGCTACTGCTTAATAGCTTTGTTTGGGTCAGCTTTCTCTGCTCGGACTGCAATAGAAGCACAATGCTTTTATTTGGATATCACAATGCTTAATTAAAGTTGATTTTCTAAATAATGATTGTTTCAGCAAGTGGCTTCAACAAGAGCGGACGATGTGGTGTTCTGTAATTGGATAGTGATAGTACGTGTCAATGATGTATTATATATTTACCGGGGATTGTGCATTCTACCCTTCTGTTTCTTTCTTTCACATTCAGTAACATAAAAGGACGATTGGCTATGAGTCCTACAGCTTAAGTGTGTGCACAAACCAAAATTAATTAGATTTTCATAGTCGCTTAAATGCTTCATTTTCTGGTATAATACAAAATGATGGCAACTATTTGCCATAGAGCTACTTGCTAGGATGATGACGGGATCTCACTGTTGCATTGGAAATTTGGCAGGCATTGTGCATTTCGCGCTGTTGTTGCTTCTTTTCTCAGTCAGTTACATAAAATGATCGGATATAAACCTTGTAGCTGAAGTATATGTGCAAACAACAAATTGGTTAGATTTTCATGGGCATTCAAATGATCCAATATCCCCTTTACATTGGCAACAAATTAAAATAGAGCTACTTGCGAGGATGATGGCGTAATATAACCGTTGTATTGAATATTTACTGTTTGTATGGAATATTTACTTTGCACTTTGTTGCTTTCTCATTCAGTAACATAAAATGGTGATTGGCTGAGCCTTACAGCTTAAGTTATATGTACAAACAACAAATTAACTAGATTTCCATGGAAGTTCAAGCACTCCATTTTCCGGTATACAGAGTAATGGTGGCAACAAATCAAAATAGAGCTACTTGCTAGGATAATGATGTGATATCACCGTCGTATTGAATATTTACTCGGTATTGTGGATTATGCGCTTCTGGAGGTTTGAACCAGAGGACTAAATCATAGTACATAGAGGTCTGTCTTATCTTTAAAAACATCTAATATCTAGTCAAGTCATTAGGGGTGTGTGGGGAGGGAGGGAGTGTGTAATAGACCTGTATTGATCTCATACTCTGTCTTCTAAACAATGAATAGCAACTGCACGTGAATCCCAATATAAGAAAGCACCTACAAGATATAAGAAACACAATACCATAACAACTAAACAAGTTAAACCTCAAAAACCACTTCCATTACGTATTCGCTTAATAATACTGCATAGAGTTGTCGAAGTATGCATAAAATGGTAAACCATATTGCAAAACAAAGATCCTCCAAAAGCAGTACTCAAAATATTAAAAGCCAATTTGAAAAATAGCTCAAACAAAATCCATTAGTAATCAAAATCCAACCATTTTGTGAAGTAGGCACAAGTACTTGGTGAAATAATCCCATTGGGTGTGCATTGATTAATCCTGGGACAAACACCACATGGCATTGAAGCCATTGCCCCAATTTTTGGACCTTGTCCAATCCCTGCCCCAGTTGCACATCTATAACAAGATGTGCCAATAGGAATAGAATGATATTCTCCTAATCCAGTGCTCTTCACCTCTAGAATTTCATTGTCCAAAACCATACACCTCAATATCTCGGAAATTTGCTGAACTGTGCACTCAACCTTAATGGCCCCACTTTTCTTGAAAAAATGGTGAACTTGCTCCGTTGTAGCAACCTTCCGACTACGTATGAACCTAAAGCAAAAAACTTTGAGAACAGAAATGAATTCTTTATCAAGACTCCCTTCCACATACCAGGAGCCACCCGTGACTTCCTTTGATGGTTCAAACTCAGCTGCCATGTAGTGTTTTCTCCCCTTGTTTTGGATGTTTACAACCTCCTTTATCAGTTTCTTTGCTAGAAGTGACCTGAGGGATTTATTAACCAGATTTTCTGGTAGGTTTGTGTCTCGTTTGATGTCTCTTGTCCAGATTCCCATATCTTCTTTACTTTTGATCACTTTGAGAACTGCACGGTCAGCATCGACAAGGGACTGAGTAAGGGGATTCGATTCTGGCCTTTTCCGCTTAGGAGCGGAAGTATCTTGTGAATGGCTCATTCCTGTTGAAAGGAAATTTAAAAGAATGAAACAATGGTACAATACATGAAGATACGGTTATAGAACACTACATTGAATTGTCATGAGTCTCATGACTGAAAGATCTTAGTCACTGAAAACTATGAAGGGACAAAATACACTTTCTTCTCTTTTTTTGTTTCTATCTCACAAACCGAACAAAGGAAAGGACATCCCCTGCAACCTTGCAGAAGTCACAAGGAAAGAGAAAGAACTCTTTGGATAGGAACCACTCAACCAGTGAATGCACATTATTGTTTCAACCATAACAGTAGAAATCAAATACACAACATGAATTATGAAGGGAACTATTAAATCCACTAATATAGACAAAAAGAACTGGAGATAAGTATGGAATTTTAGTTTACAAAGCCATCATTCGTTTACCACGATTCCAACCACCAACACTGGCAATCGGAACATAATGATCCAAATCAAATAACAAAATGAAGAAGCAAGGCAAACCCGTTTGAATAAATTTGATGTGTGCAAGGAAGTCTCTTAATTGTAAGAATGAACACTATTATAATTCCAGATCAAAGAGCTACGCAGTGATAACTAAAAGAGGTGAGAGCAGAGAGTTGACCCATGATACAACCAAAATCTGGATCAACATAACTAAACCAGGTTTGTATGGCGTTATAGATGGGGTAACTTCTTTTCTCCAAATCTACAAGTAGAACTTAGCATTGACTGATCATCAACTTTGTCAGCATAAAATAGCATGTTGTCTGTAAATGACACAATAAGTATAGAACAAGAGGCCTCGTTTAATGGGTTTCTAGATTTCATGTCACCCGTAAAAACAAAGACTTATGGTAGGTACTGGGTTTCAAATGCCAACTAAATAGGGGAGTGTTCTAGAGAGAGACGAATGGGTGCCTGTATCCTCTTCCTCAAACAGTCAAACACCATCGAGTCTCAGATAAATAAGTACATAAACGAAAGAAAATACATGTACACAACAGTGGGTGGGTCTATGTCTGTGGGTTTAGAGATTCAACAAACGTGTGGTTCACTGGAATGAAAAAGAAGCCAGGGCCTGAGTTAGTTTCGTAAGTGTAGAGCATAGAACACGACAAGTAAACCATGATTCTAAGCTATAATTGTTCTTGTAACCTGGACCAGTTCATGTCCAATTTTGATGCACTGATTTCTCAAAAACACTTCTTCAAAACTCAACAATGTCTTGAGATTAAATCAAATGTCTGTCTCAAAAATAAAAACAAAATCCCAGAACAACAGCAACACGCAAAGAGAAAGGAAGAGCCTTACATAGACTGAGGGGAGATATGACCGCCGTCGTCTTCGTGGGCTATGCGGCGGAGGAGGGAGTGGAGAGAGAGGGTGACGCCAAGAGAGAGGCGGGGCGCGGCCATAGTTATTAAACCCGACTCAAACAGCAACCCAGTGAAGTCACCACATCGATGAGTCACTTCAACTGTTGGGTCACCAATCGGACCCATATTTCCGCTAAAGTTCAGCGGCTTCAATGGGGGTGAGGTGATAAAACAACCAAAGCAGAGGGCTTTTAGGAAAGAAACATGCTATTATACCTATGAATGATTAGGTATATTACCCATATTAGGACTTTTAGGAGATAAAACAATCAAGGTTAAGAATCAATTAGGTAATTCAAATGTTTAATGAGAGAGAGAGATGAATTTGATTTGTAGAGTTGCTGCTATGAATGATTTGTAAGATTGTTATGTGAGAGATATTAGAGAGACAAGGTGAGACTGTAAAGTGAGAGATGAGAGAAATTACCTGACAGAGACGACGGAGGGCAAATGCCGGACGATGGTTGCAGCGTGCGACGACGAGTGGGAGAGGTGACTTGAGACTCTATCCTGAAGGTTTAGTTCAATCATAGTTTTAAATCCCGGCCCAAATATCAACCCGGAAAAGGGACTAGGTCAAAGGGTTATTGGTTCAAACGTTGGGTCACTGGTTGAACTAGTCAAATAATAAAAAAATAAAAAATAATTATAAATAAGCTAAAAAAATCACAATAATTATGAAAATAGCATGATTAATATATATTAGATCAAACTAAACCCTCCAAAATCATCAAATATGTATCCAATGCATTCAATTCAATGCATAATGTATCCAAAGCAAGGCATATGTAAATTGTAATTCACTTGAAAATACAAATAATACCAATATTATCAAATGACTAATGTCAACAGTGCAATTCAATTATATATAACGAACAACAAGAATTCTTAATATTTAAAACCTAGCATCAAGAATCCTCAACATCATATTTCATAGCAGCAGAATGTAATAACTAATATGATTTATCCTCTAACCCACCTATAAATTATCAATGTATATGAAATTATGAATTCATTCGTGGGATGTCAAGGACATTGGTTTTTTTTTTCAATTTCAAGAGAAATTTTATTGATATAAATCAAAGAATTATAAGAAAGATACTGTTCAAAAGAATTAACGAATTACAAATACCAAAGAAACATTCTTTGACTTCAATCCTTCAAAAAATAATGACGCCATTATCATTATTTCCAAGAAGCCTCCCATACTCCAGAGCAGCAAGCTAATCACGTTTCCAACCACCAATCCTTTCCACCATTTCAACAACATTACCCCCAGTCATCAAAAACCAACACAGTCTTGGTTCTCAAAGTAGGCAAAAATCGCTGATCCTGGAGCAATTTCATCTTAATGGAAGCAGGCAAGAGATCAGTACCAGAAAAATCAGTCGCACAACCATCTTCCACTGCCTTGTTTGCCAAACCATCAGCCACAAATGACATTCGTATGGATTGTATAATTATTAAAATGGGTAATCTGATTATCAATGAATATGAAATATGATAAATGTTGAAATTAAAATAGGCCAAAATTTATGTAAATATAAATTAATTGAATCTGAAAATAAACCAAAAAAAACTACATATAAAATCACAGAGAGAGAGAGAGAGGTCTAATACCAGATGATGTACCTTAGATTGTCGATTGAAGGATGAAGAGGGTGTATCTGTGTGGGTCGAAGATCTGAGAATCGAAGGAGTTCGAGTCTTCGATTGAGCTGCTGAGTGCAGTGATCAACGAGCAAGTGTGTGTGTGTGTGTGTGTGTGTGTGAGAGAGAGAGAGAGAGAGAGAGAGCCGGCGGAGACCAGCAAGCGCAAAGGCAAACAAAACAACAAATGAATTTTGGGCAAAAATACCCTAGAAACTTAATTTTATAGGATTTGAGTTAAACCTTCCGGCTACCGAATTTATTATAAAACTGGCCGAGTCAGCGGGTATTATCTGATTCATTTGTTTAAATAATTTAATAACTAAATCGGCCTTGTTCAGGCTCCGGTTCACTGGATCAATTTGTCGGGCCCGGATTGGTTTTTAAAACACTGAGTTCAATGAGTGGCTAATTTTTAGGGTTAGTGGTTGATCTTTATACCAACTAATAAGATTGGTACATACTAAAAAAAAATGTTCGACTCATACTGATTTTATAAAAATTGCTTGGTCACATAAGTCTTAAACCGTATAACAATCCAATTAGCAATCTATCACAGTCCAAGAACCAGTTCACCGGGTGAACCCTCCAGGCCAGGCCGTATTTAATAACATCACTCAAGACTTACTTGACTTGTTTGGATGATCTTGGGGAGAGATTGAATTGATTTTCTCAAATTTTTTTGTTTGGATGATCTTGGGGAGGGATTGAATTGATTTTCTCAAATTTTTTTAAATCCAACCCTGACTTTTGTTTCCATAGAATTCATTGATGATTCTAATTTATACTCGTGTTTAGTATATAATATATATACATACAAAATTCACGGATATATCATTATTATCATTTATTTATTCTATAAATGACTATATTATTTATTGGTTAAACCAATTCATACTTATGTGTTGTTTAATTCAAGAGTGCAAATGACATTTCTCTCATTAATTTAGGTATGGCTTGATTGGAACTCATCTCATAGATTTGATGAAACCTACATTCAAGGATTTAAGGTGTCGAGCCAGCTATAGGGCAAGACTATTGTCTATAACTTGAAAAATCATCCAAACAAAGGTTTTAAGAGTCCATTGAACTATTTTCGCCAAACTCATCTTGCCAAACTCTACCTATACTAACTTATCAAACCACTAAACAATCTAATAAGCAACCCAGCCCGGTCTAAGAACTGGTTCACCGGGTGAACCCTCCAGGCGGGGCCAAATTTGTACACACGAGTAAACAAACGGTTGTAATTCCACACTTCCAAAAAAATTATTAAATTGGGTGATACTTTTGCAGTCTAAAATATTATCAAATTCTTAATTTACATTACACATTCAATCAGATTAAAAAAAGTCCAAAAATAAATATTCGTGGCTTTTTCTAATAAATTTTTTTGTTGTATTGGTTATCATAGTCTTTTTTTATACACACTAATTTGTATAACTCCCAATTACAAGTGCTTTAAATAGAAATTTGGTATTCAATTTTCTTGAAATCGAGTATACTACTAATATTTTTTTGACGATGAAGTATAAAAATTTTAATGTTTCAAGGTGTAAAAATTTTTCAAAGTACATAAAAGTTGTTTGTCCTTGCTATAATACGTAAATTCCCGAGGCCACTTAGCACAACTGTAACTGAAACTCATTGCAATTAAACTGTGGATCACCCAGAATAGGTAATTGGGCATTGCTTGAAGAATGCCCATTTTGATACTAACTAATATAGAAAATTTTCAATTCTCTCTCTCTCTCTCTCTCAATATACAAGCTAGTTTTTCTGGCCCTGAGCTATTTGAAACTCCCAGTAAACTCATGTGGCTTCCTACTAAGCCTTTCTCACTTATACACATAATAATGTGCATATCCTCCAAAACAGGCTCATCGACAGATGCCCTGCAGTTTTAGCTACCCTTCAAAGTAATAACCACCAACTACTTAAGCATACCATATTAATCAGCCTCATGATTCATCACTGCTACTTCTATTGAAGCATTGTGTGTGTCTGAGAGAGAGGTTACACCAACAATGATAAGAGCATGCTTACTACCAATGTACAAGATGCAAGTTGAATATAAACAGTTTTGGCAAGTTCTCTTGCAATCGGAGCATCTTACCGATATCTGAGTTTTTATCTACATTTCCGATCTTTTTGGACACCCCAACATATCAATAACACTACAAAATTGGATTAAATGGGGTTGCAGAGCCGCTGGTAGCATTCCCAAACATACAAGCTGGCCATAAGAATTTATGCACCAAAGTATACAAATTGGGAAATGCACATTGAGGTAGGTACAGGGATTTCAGTGGCAGTGAAGGCAGCAGCATCTCTACAGAAAGGTAGTGGTGGTGGTGCCCTTCAATTCCACATTTTACCTTGCAGGGGGTGCAATCAGTGAATCAACCTCCAAGACTCGGCAAATGGTTTCCAGAATGCATCAGAGTGGAATTCTTAATCTGTCTCATTCATCAGCAACTGGTAATCCCAGATTTCAAGCTACTTCGTATAAACAAAACTACTTACGCAGCTTGTTTCGAATTTCGGCAAAGCCATCGGAGTCAACCTCTTTTCTCGCAGATGAGTTTGCTCCAGCCTGTTCTTTCAGAGCTTCCTTCTCCAATTTCTTCTTTTCAGCCTCTGCCTGCTGTCCATTCTCGTCACGTGCTTTATTGAACATCTTGGTGAAGACGACCAAAGTTTGTGTCACTGCAAACAGAAAGCCAAAAGAGCTTAACATGGACAAGGCAAATGCAAACCGACAAATAAGTTACCGACTCATTCGGTTTTTAACATGTAATTGAACAAAGCAAAATTTCTCTGATAAAGAATCATTCTTGTAAATTTACTGATTTATGTGTTGAACATTCACACCTTCTGACTGGGTGAAAAGATCAGTACATCCATTCCAGAAAGGTTGTGAAAAGACCTAAAATTCAGATTATATATAAAAACAAAATATATCATAAAATAGTGTTGGCAGAAGGAAGATAGTAACCTTGTTTTCAATCTCGTCATAATATTTGAACAAATTTCTTATATATATATATATATATTTTTTTGAGGAGCTTATTATAAAATTGTTTAAAACTTTAGAGTTGTATGTGTGATAAGAACAATACGAAAGTCCAAGAATCGTGTGTTTGACGCAACATGCCTGGTGGGAAAAGCTGTTCCTTAATTACCACTGGACACCCTATTTCCTTTGCTGGCGGAACATTTTCTTTTCTACAGTTGTTTTGAAAATTTAACCTTAATCCCCCCCCCCCCAAAAAAAAAAAAACAAATGGAAGTGGTGGGAAGGAGAGAATGCACTGCGGGAGGAAACCACTCACTGCGAAGAATTGGTGTACTTTACAGTTGCCAACTCTTAGAGCATCCTCGACCTGATCAAGCAGCCTTGGGTGGAACCAATCTTTCTATATGAGAAACTAAACACCCAAGGCCAAACTTTATTACCAAGTTGAGTATCTAACCACTAATCAGTGAATGAAGAAACCACTCAACCATTTAAAACAAACTTTGATGATCCTAATCTTTCGATGTGTGATATAAGCTCTCATCCCAACAAAAACTTAATGCTAGTTTATATAATTAAGAACTCACTTTTCTATTTTAACCTCAAATGTTTTACCCATAGAAAGCACCATTTCAACTCAACTCAATAAACTCTTATCCCAATTGTTTAGAATTGACTAATCCTATTTTGTCTTTTATACAATCATCTCAATACATCCAACGTATTACATGTCGAAGGGAGAAAACCCTATACAACAGAAATTTAAATAGCCAAAACATAAGTTGGAAAGTCCATTGTCAGAACAATTTTCACAATATTATCAGTATATTGGTAATCAAAAATCACCATATATCTACCTTCAAAAAAAAATCACCACTATATATCTACAAAAAGAGCTTGTATCCACATTTAACGATGAGAATCGCCCAAGGTTGATTTATATGCTTAAGGGGTCTCTCCACATTGTCAATTGGTTTTGGATTGAATGCTCTAAATGGTATCAAAGCAGGGCCTTGAGTGATCAACAGATCAGGTCTCTTACCCATTTAAATTTCGCAATATCGATCATTGTTTATTTGTTTGCTTGTTTGTTAGCTCCACTAGCGAGCCCGGATCCCACATGAGGAAGGGTGTAATGAGAGCTTGTATCCTCAAATGAGACCACCCAAGTTGGTTTATATGCTTAATGGATCTCTCCACTCATTGCCAATTGGTTTTGGGTTGTATACTTTGATAATATGTGACATTTAGTAAATATCCACGTAATGCTCTTTTCTTGTATTAATTTAACTTATTCATTTACCAAAACTATAGCAAAAAAATTGACTACATTACTGTGAATCAATTTGTCCCTAATATTGCTTCTTTCTTCTCTTAATTTTTCATCTTTCTCTGTTTTGTGAAGTAAAAGACATGTTCTGATTAAATATCATGTGTCAAACATGGGTTAGCCATAACTGAATACTTTGCATATCTTTTACCCCTTAATAATCCAAACCATTCTCCAAAATGGTGTCACTCTTGCCAGCTTGATATGCCACCGCTCCTTAAATTTTCACAGCCAAATTTTACATTCTCCTCAATGGCTCTTGGACTAATCTTTGTTCAGAAGTTGTACGTGCCAATTTATTACTTGACAGATCATTGTAACTTAGGGGATGATATTGGATCATAGAATGCACAAAAACCAGGATTGATACCCTCATTATTTGTATCAAAATTGTCCCCAGGCTAATTGTGTAGATGTTTCTGTTTCATGAGACAGCAATAGAAAGCTGAAAAGCTTAACAAACCTTGCTCAAAGGGGCATCGAGCTGGATCCTCCCCAAAATACTGGGACAAAGAGTCAGCATTTCTTCCCTGCATGACAAACGATTTAGTACAAAATGAAGCTCTGGATAGTCAGTTTATTGAAAAAATGAAATCTACGGAGAAGGCTCACCACTTCGGAATACAGAGAGATAAGTGACCGTACTTCAGCTTCAGCAGTATCAAGGAAACCCTTCAAGACCTTAAAGAGCAGATTTAAGTGTTAACCTTTGGCATTCTATCATCCAAAATCTGTCTGATTCATCCACTTTTTAAATTATTTATTCATAACTTACTTTAGATTACGCATTCTGATCTAAAAACTTGATCAGAAAAGAAACAATTGCATAATTTTTTGAAATATCTTATGGCCAAATAGCAGTTCTCAAAGTCAATAATTCATCCAAGAATTAGTATGATGCGACGTTCAAAAGTTGCTTGAAGGCGTGTCAGATCTCAATCATGAGTTTAAATTTTCAAATTTGAACAGTATATGGATGTAAATCACACAGACTCACCAGAAAGCAGATTGGCCCGTACATTTTCTCGTACATGATATCAATCACTGAATTTTAGTTTATAAATAAACCATCATATAGGCTAAAAACAGAGCAAAAAATAATAGCTGCCTGGTACCTGGACACTAGTGTGGCAAAGAGGTAGTTACTTTATAATCACCACAATATGGTGCCCTTTCTAACAATATAAGAACACAAAACGTCCATAGAATAAAGCAATGTAAGGCCAATCCCTTAGATTTAGCTTCTCAATCTTCACAAAGTCATATTAGGAGGTTAAAAATAACGTTACTGTGTGTTAGAATTTCCCTCAGACCCTTGACTGATTGAAGCACTTAGAGCAATTGGAAAGTTTGCCATACACCGAAAAGACCTATACAGGAGATAACCTTTAATTACCAATATTTCCTGTTGCTAACTTGGGTCCAACCATCACTGCGAGACCGTTGACCACCTTCGTTGCATTCTCCGATGCTGACAGACCGTCCAGTATAGGCTTCTGCGTATTTCTCAAAAAAACCTACTGACTTGGGTTTCTAAAAAGCAACCAACTTCCCACCCTCACCACACCCTCCCCCCCTCACCCCCCACCCCAAAAAAAAAAAAATTGAAAAAACAAGAGAGAAACCAATACATGCAGTTCAGAAACTCCAATTTTTTGACAGTCATGAGGAATACTACTCTAAAATGGTACCGTATTGGACACTAGCTGAGACAAAAGGGGAGGAACAATACAATTTGTCTTGTTTATTGAAGAATTATAATCATATCAGTGTTGGTGGGCTGTAACTCATATTTTGTATACCACCATCACAATCCTCATGTCGTTCTTAGTGTTGCTTTTCAACGACTTGATTATAAGTGGAGACATAAACAAATGCATCTACAAGCATTTATTTATTGGAAGAACGGGTCAAAGAAGTAGGTCATGCAGTATCAAACTAAAAAATTAACTATGAATATGAAAGACAAGATAAAATTAACATGCAGGAGATAAGACATTTCATGCCATCAGTTTGTCGTGAAATCCAAACTTTTATTATGCAAACAGCACACCAGATTTCCCTTGAAAGAATCCACAAGCAATTTTTGCAAGATGCTCTTAATTACTTAAAGCTGCAACTCTTAAACTTGATATACTCGATTGCTTCTCAACTATTATATGACCTGACTCTACGAAACTAATTGAAGAAACATCACACTCCAATATAGCAAGCTTGAATGAGATTAGGAATCCAATGAAGGTAACCCCTGATTCCCAATTACCCAGTAAGAAAGGCCTCTGTCCCATGCCATTGTGAAGACAGGGACGCATCCCTGTCCCAAACCCCTATCTCTCTCCCCTCAAACCCCTAGTAGCCCTTCAAACCCCTATCTCTCTCCCCTCCTCGCTTCAGGGTTTATGAGTAATGAAGCACCATCAAAAGCACTCCCTTTCAACAGCAAACGCAAAACCTCAGAGCCTACAAGACTTTGTCCAAGTACTAGCATACCTCACTCGCTGTCTCCTTTGCACAGTGAGCAAGTCCACCGTATCATAAATGGTAACAGCATTGCACATGAGTCTTTTGGCATAGTTAATGGAGCTTGGGGTCCTTTTTTACTAAGTACATACATATCCAAAGGCACTTGTATAGGAGAAGATATACTATTAAGGAGATTTTCTCAGGGAGTTATATACTTTCTTTCTTGGCTTTTGAATTGTCACCCCATTCGGCAGGCATGTTTTACTACATTTTACATGGACATCTGCTCAGAGGCTTTTAAATTTTCTAACGTATTCTCAGACCTAAATTTATTAGTGAATGAACTATGGAGCCATTCAAGGAAAATCAATTCTGAGAAGTTACACTCGATACCGGCCGCCGAGAATATATTCGGATTATGTCTACCATACCTTGGTTGTAGATGAAATTTCAAAGTTAATCAAGGACTTTATCTTACCAAGAAAGCAACATACAGTAAGCATGAGATAACACAGTCGCTACTAACAGTATCAGCAGCAACCTCAAGAAATATCAGAAGAAAAAAGGACAGGAATGGGGGAAGGAAATGACCAGCAGTTCTCCTATATTTCTTTAAAGCTCAAGACAATATGCCATTCAGTAAGGCCAGGTCGGCAATGTGAATAATAGCCCAGTACTTTAATTGTGGCAGATTTGCCTGATGAAGTCACCAAGATCACCATGTACTTCACTTACCTTTTGAAATCCAGCGGATATAGCACCATCGTTCTCTGAAGCAGTTAGTTCCTGCTCAACCTTTTCAAGACCTTTACTCACTGCTTGCATTTCTTCCGCCAAAGATTTCAATTGGATCTAAACATTTCAATTGATATGGCAAGGAGAAGAAACAAGCAACAAATAAGACAAGTCAACTATACACTACCCTATTACATGTTAAGTAAACCAAAGGAAGACCCTAATTTGCAAATCAAACATACCTTAGAGGCTCCTTCTAAATGAAGGAGATCTTTATCAAAATTCAGCAACTCAGGCAATTTCTCAGCAAGGAGCTAAAGAAAACAATTGATTATAGCATCACATTAGTACCAAAAAAAACTTTGAAAACGAGTATACAACAAAAATTGCCCATGTGAATGCATGGGAAAATAGATACAAATAAGGAAGTATTACAGAAAGGGCGGGGGTTAAATTAACGATATATCCAAAATAGCAGTTCTGAAGAATCTTTAACGCAAATGTACATGCAATCGAGCCCATAATAATTCTTATTTGTGAGAGGCTGCAAAATTCATTACAAAAAAATATTGTATGTTTTGAACGCAATCAAATATCAATTACTCAAAAGCTCCTATACAAATTTCCAACTTCCTCCATAAGAAGACTGCACGGCTACATACATTCCCTCAAGCACGTTTCTATAGTCCACCATTTCAAAGAAAGTATGTTATGACAATGCTGGTGCATAAAGAAAGATCCTAATGTCCTTGCGATCAACTACCATTGGCTTCAACACCAATAAAAAGTGAAAGTACATCATCATTAGCTAAGAGCAACTTGATCATAATGCAAATAAAAAACTCAATGAACGTGATATTTCTACCTTGCATAAATAATGCATCAAGGTCATTTTGTTGTTTCTTGCGCGAGTATCAGACAATTTAAGAAGGCTATCCAATTTAAATCCTACGGCTGATCCTGCAACAGAGAAATACCGATAAAAGGGTAAGTTTTTACCTCAGAAACTTTTTGCACAACAACAGAGTGCAGGGATAATGTGGTTTGATCTCAGATACTTACCTCGGGCAGTGCCCTGATTTAGTGCATTTCCCAAAGTGAGAATTGTCTGCATTATTTGACGCAATTTCATGGATTCTTTGACCTACAATTACATGCATAACAATTAACACGCAGATGATACTTCACAGCCATTAGTGACTTTCGAAGTCTGAATATAAAGATACCTCTCTAGTAGCATCATTGATTGTGTTCAGGTTACATCTTAAGTCATTTACCTGAAGAAATCAAAGCTATTAGAATAAACAACCATAACAAATTGTGGCAATCATGGTCAAAGAACATACAAATCAGTGACAGAACAGTCTACCTGACTACAAAATGTAATCGTGAATGAAAATACTCGTAACTTGGATTCCACTCGTGGGACCTTCATTAACTCCAGGAAAAACTGAAATGCACAATAACATTATGTTTGTCAGTAATAAGAATAGTACACTTGCACTTCCCCGCATCAATGATCAGTAGTGCAGAAGCACCTGTTCACACTTTCCAAGCATGTCCTTGTCTCCAGTATAGTTCTGAAAGACAGAACAATAACAGTAAGAAACAAAAAACTAAAATCATATACATAATGATACGTAACACAAACCCTGAAAACAAAAATAGAACATTACACTGTCGAGTGTCGAGAAACCAAAAATATTATCTAAATTTTAAAGTGAATACCATTCAATTTTTTCATTTCCTGATAAAGATTAAAATAGTAAAATTCGATACATATATCATTTCTCACCTTTCGGTTCTAGTCATGTTGTCTATTTCTCACTTCCTTCACTAGCATTCATTTTGCATATCTCATCCTTGTATACCACAAAGTCTGCACACCAGTAGATTCATATATCTCCATTGAACATGAGTCATGGTGACCATCTTATACCCACTTTCTCTCACTGTGTCCAATTTTTTCTTTTTTCTGATAAGAGACAACATTTTTCTCCCATTATACCCTGTCCATTTTCATCATCCCTTTATACATTGTCTGAATTTTCAGCACTTTTGCATTTATTATACCTACTGTAGTATACAATATTAGAGCACCCCACAAGTATAATTCATTCAAACTACTACGTTTAAGTTCACTGCAAGAATTATTCACCCTTATGATCTCTATGAATTCCTAACTAAAGACACAAAACCATATAATTTTCACAAAACATTTGGAATTTTTCTCGGCAACAGAATTAATTGAACAGTTTTGTTTTTCTTGCTTGGTAAGGATTGATTGTAAATGCTTTACTTAAAAACATAAGAAACAAAGAAATGACATGAATACTCTGTTTGGCAGCAAACCGGAATTGAGAAAAAATTACTTCAAATTATGAACTCATTATTGCCATATTCCACTTCCAAGGCTCAAGTTACACCCTCCCCAACAGTGTAAAAGTACCTTCCAATCAACAGCATAAGGTTAGATGAATCATCCTAACTTTACATCATTTAGGCTCTTGCTGTGCAAACTTGGAAACCATTTGGTCATTACAGGAAGATATTTTTAACACAGGCATCAAAAGAAGACAAGGTGCAGGCAGAAAGGAATGGGGGGATAGTCTTCAATTAATCATATCATACTTTATACCGTTTAACCCAATGTTGATTTGTTTAATTCCCAGTACATAGTAACACTATCTGGAGCCAGTTACATATGAGATCAGCAAGAATGCATCAATTCCATATAGCCAAACGATGCACTCAACTAAGAAAAGGACCACTTTGAGTTCACAAGGATTTTATTCCTACTTATTTCTATTTTCTTTATGCTTTCCAGTATGTAAATAATGTTGATTGTTTAGAGGGAAAAATCAAATTGGAAATTTCATGAAAATTTTCTACACACTCTTATCTGAAAGGAGAGATTGGATAGACACACACAGAGAGAGGATGAGGGAGAGGCTTAAAGTCGCTTCCCTGAGCTAAAAAGGCTCTGGCATAGTTTAAAGGAGGTAAATAGGTTATGCTAAACATAGTGTCAAAGTCAAATTCAGCACAAGCAATCTGGAAGCTGTGGTATGGTGAACGTTCCAAACCTTTAGTAGCCCTCAAATCTGAGGGAAGCACAATCAATCCATATTTGGGAAACCTCAGTTATGAAGTCTAATTCAGAGGGTATTAAACTACTGATCATATCACATGACATTGATCATATAGCCCACAATTTGGAAAACTATAATACATTTGGGAAGTAACAAGAGATTTAACAAATCATAATTGTTAAAGCATTCAAACCAGGATCAATTGACAATGAGTAAAGAGGTCTCTCAAGCATAGAAACTCACCTTGGGTGCCCCCAATATTCCCATGTGGGATACAACCTCTATTTAAACCCTTACTGAGGTGGGGCTTGAACCTAAAGCACATAATTCTCCCCAACTATGCACGTTCTACCACTTGGCGTGTTAATTCGCAAGTTGGGAGCGAATCCGCTATAAATTCTCAGATACACTTCACTAAATTCGCAAATTTACTTTCTACATTCACGTATTCAAAATTTGTACTACAACACGTCAAAAATTGCAACTACACACGTGATTATTTAGCTATAGCTTCATGCGTTAAATTGCTACAAATTCACGCAAGCCTTAATTACAGCTAAGGCCAAGTGAAAGTCAGTCACGGCTAACTGAGAAGAGGCCTCTCAACTTACCCTTTATACAGGCTTCTTCCCTTGCCACTTTCTCACCTCTTTGCAACGTGGGATAAGTGTGCAAGGCATAAAAATAGCTTTCTTTTTTGTTGTTTCTTGTTCCATTATTCTTTTTTTGTTGTTTCTCTTGTTCCATTATTTAAATTTATATTTGTTCATAGAATTTAATTTTTGTTAAGTTTTATATACGTAAACATATTTGTGTGTATATAGTATGACACTCTCAAAGTGCTCCTGCTCTGAGGATTTTTAAAATTTTTACGCTTTTGCGCTCCTACTCTCCCTTTCACTCTCATCCCGCTCTTGTGATCTAAGCTTGAACTCACCCGTCAGCTAACTAAAAACTAACAAAAATGCATACCGGAAAATCTAATGGGCACGAGACTGAACACACTAACCACTCGAGGGTCAATTCCAATATCATATTAAATCATCCAACACAAAACCAATTGCAAATGAGTAGATATATCCCCTAACCATATAAACCAACATTGAGGTACTAGAATATTTCGATGTGGAATTCGAGCTCTCTTTACAATAACCATATGATATCCATCAAGAGATTCGAAGCCATAAGATACTTTGCAATATTGCAACCAATATGTCACTATTGTGGACCATCATCACAAATAAATTGCATATCAACCAATAATCAATACATACTTCAACTTTTATTAAGTCAGATATGTTAGAAAAGCACAAAATATGATATCACTGTAATTTCCATGGCGAGTCTAAAGCTTCGCAAGAATCGCAACTAATTACAACATACAACTCTCAATTCTTAAGTTAGTACCCTATGTTTGTAAATTTATATACTGCACATCAGGCACAAACGTTAGCAGAGAGGAGATCAGATCCCAAAACCACAAGTATTGGACCATTTCAAAGACGGCATTGCAATCCAAAAGATCCAAACACCCAAATTAGAGAGAGAGACAGAGAGTATGTACCTTAAGTGTCTCCATTTCTTCTTTTGTAGGGCAGAATTTAATAAGATTCTCAACTTGATCGATGTCTAGGGCCAAAGAATCCAAAGCCAGAATCCCATTCTGGAAACCAAACATAAGTTCAAGTTTTGCAAAAATGCTTGCCAATTATTTATCAAGAATAGACAAACTTTTGTATAAAGCAATAAGGACCTGATAATATCCTATTTGGTAATATAAGTGAATAGACAACACTGTGGCAGAAATAGGAACTAATAGTGAGGGGAAATACATTGCCCACAACCTAATATCCTTCTGATAGTTGTTGAAAATTAGAACCATCCAAACAGCAATGTCAACCCTAAAATTATGAAGAAATATACAAATTGTAATCACGGATGAAGCACTATCTACAAAAGAGAGGATTTCGGTAGCATAGAATGCACATTGTAAAGGTCCTCGAAAAAAGAAAGAAGCAGAGCAGGTGCGAAGCACTTTAGATGAAAGAGATAAGTGACCATAATCAGCTAAATCTCTGCACTTGAAGAGCACCTCTTTGAGACAACTGTGACTGGAAAAAGAAAAGCATGACATATAAAAAAAAAAAAAAAGAAAACCAACCCCAATAAGGACCCATGACATATGTTACATGCAAGACAAAAAGAAATCAACGTAAGTTGGGTAGTTTTGTTTGGTTTCCTTGTCTTTAAAATTGTTATTATGGGCTCTTGTCTCCACTCTCCTCAGAGTAGTGTTACTAAACTTTGTAGTAAGGGAATATTGTATGAATAAAATTAGGACAAGAAGCTAACCAATCCAAACCATTTCCCTCAAATCCACAATTCCAACCTAAAAGTATAGTGAACTTGTGAATTAATTTACTTTTTCACAAATTTTGCCCACGATGTTGCAGGTTTAGATGAAGTAGCAAGTGAATATGAAGGTAAATAGGCAATAGGAAGAGAAGAAAACTGGATAACAAAGAGAACCACAAAAGCATAAAAGAGCAGTATGAAGCATAAGGGATTCAGGCTTTGGGTTCGATTGTCATTCTTGTTTGGATTCGTCTACCAAGAGATGGTGGGTTGATGAAGGCCTTTAAGAAGAAAGCATTTCAAGAACATTGACTAGGGAGAACTAGACTGTCCATAAACAATGTACAATGGCAAAGTGCCACTGAAAAATTCATGTCATGGCAATAAAATTGCCTGAAAAAATTGTTTAAGGGTCAATTAACCACCTCCATGGCTGGGAAACTAACACAGCAGAAGTCTGAAAATGTTAGCACACATATGATTTACATCAGGGAAAATCTTATGATACCACAAATTTTTAAAATTTCTGAGAAGGACCTTACAATCTTCTAAAGCCACACATGATACCACAAATTTTTTTATTCCAAATCGAGAAAGTTGGCATGAAGCATAGGATTTACATCATTCAATTCCACATTCTCTGGCAAATGCCTATTCCTAACACTGTGTATATCAACAAATTGTTATACATCAGGGAAAAAAGCTTCAAAAAATCTACGTTCCCAAAAACTTACTACTATTCCTTCACCAAAGCCCCATTCACTACTGAACACACTGGCATTTCTAGGAACAATTTCCTTTGAAGCCTTTTCATGATCAGTCTTGGAAAAATATATGTTCTTATACCACTACTTCTTGTGTTCTTAGTTTCAACCAAAATGTTGTGCCACCCCCCTCAATTCAATTAAGAATAGGCAATATGAAAGACTAGATTAACGGCAACGCTAATAAATGTGAAGAGAGCTCAATCACCCAAATTGGAAGATTAAGATGTCCTCCACTAACTGCTAATTGGTTTTGAGTTGAATGGCTTTAACATGGTATCAGAGTTGGTATTTGAGTTGCCCGTGCACCAAATCTCACTCGTTATGGATTCTCAATCTGTTTCTGTATACATATCTCTAGATCCTGTCATCCCACAAGCAAGCCCAAGTTACACAAGAGGAAGGGTGTGAAGAGAGCTTCATCTCACATTGAACTTAGGGCCACCCAAGATAAGGAACTATTGTAATTCTCCATCATTTCATAGCATCGGGCGTGGCTGAACCATCTACGGATGGGGAGAGCTAATGCACAGGGAAGAAGCTTAGATAAGAGAATACATTCTCGCATCGCCTTTTTTTGTAGAAAGCTCGACCAACAAGAAAATGTGCTTGGCCAAAACCAAAAAGAGGTTGACCCACTTCATTCGCCAAGCAATGATCTTCGCTTTGCGGGAACAACAAAAATTTTAGGGAATCTCCATCCGTATTGAATTGGTTTTGATTGAGTGTCTCTAGCATGGTATTAGAGCTAAGTTCACTGGATCAAGTATCTCACACATTTGAATGCATGGTCTAGTTTTTGTCTGTTTCATTTTGGTTTGTCAGCGAAGTGCTCAAGTCACACATGGAGGAAGGTGTGAAGAAAACTTGATCTCCCGTGGAAAGATCAAAGCTCGCTAGACTTGGATATATAGCTAAGAGTCTCTCCACCCATTGCCAATTAGTTTTGGGTTGGATGCGTTTAACATAAATATCTACAATGACATAACAACATTGAGAGATTTCAAACGAAGTTGCAGAAATCAACCTGCAACGGCATCATACAACATTCCTTAGCCATGACAAGCATTATAATTTACCTATATTCCTACATATTGTATCCTTATAAAACAAGAGTAACAAAAAAAGCATCCAACGACATTCATTACTTTGAAAGAACTGAAGTACCCATGTGATCCACAAAAGTTCATGAACCTCATTACACAAGCAGTATCAACATCCAAAAAGAAGTTCTCCAAATTCAAATTTAAATTGTCCACATCACTTGATAAGAAATTCTTTTCACAAATTAAAATTAAAAGTTTTAGAAAGGATATATTAAATAACAAAAATGACAAAAAAAACATAGCTCACAGAATTTATGACTTGAGCATCTCCTTTGGAAGAGAACACCCAATAGTTTATTTGGCACATCCATTGCTTCCAATTATTCAGACATTCAAGCACATGTAAATCTATGCATAACATTAATTGCCCAGAAAAAATGTCTGTATCATTCCTTACAACTGTAAAGAACTGAAAAAAAAAACCACAAGAAAAAGCAAAGTTGCATCTGTACTACATCTTAACTTAGCGTTACACATAGATGGACTTACAATCATATCTGGCAAAGGAATCTTTATTTTTGTGAGCATAATTTCACAATTATAGGCTCTGCGCAAGTCAACCTGACAAAAGGAAACATAAAATATTTGTAACCACAACTGAACCAAAAAGCTCAAGTACTTGTGAAATATGTTCATTAATGTTCTACAAAGGGATGAGTAGGTTATGAATCATTAGTTTTCCCTGTTCATTGGTCCTTAAATCACTTGTTGTTCCAGTTTGAAGTCCAAAAATCTCAATAAGAAATTGGACCAACCGTTGAATGGAGTAAAGGACGACTGAAGTGAGTTACTGAGTTGATGAGTCTTCCATGTATTATTTTAGTCCCCAGGAGAAATTTAACGGTCGATAATGTTAGCTCTGGCTAATATGACTATGACTATCCTGCTTCCTCTTATTGGTCATCATACCAATTAAGCAATCAAATTCAAGTTGCAATAAGGAGATTATAGCCAATGCATACAATGTGCCAATACCCAGTAATAACCTAATATTGTTGCACAGCTGGAATTGTGATGCTTAAACACATATAAAGGGTATCTCTTATATTATTAACATCAAAATCAGCTTTGAATTTTCACATGCAACTTGCAAATGTTAAGAGAACCCTAGTACACGAGGCTCCCACCACTGTAAGGTCTGGGGAGAAGTCATATGTAAGCGGCTTTACCCCCATATGCAAAGAGGCTGTTTTGCCTAGTGCCCAAATCACAATGGAACAACCTTACCGTTGCGCCAAGATCACCCTCAACTTGCAAATGTTGACTAGTAAAAAAATTTTTTGCACAATATACAAAAAATTACACAGTCCATGATCATGATTTTCTAATCTCTAGATAATCACAATTTTCAGAAAACTTAGTTCCAAAATCTTGTTTCCTTAAAGCTTCATATTAGTCAGACATACTTGATATTGTACTTAGGGACTTACAAATATTGTAGAGGCCTCAATCAGATCCATAAAGAGTTCATTATTTGAGATGATACAATGATGGGTTTGTTTTGTATTGTTCTGTACTTGTCAGGAATTAACAGCACAAAAAACTATATAAAAAAAAGAAACTTATGGTCAGAATTTGGTCCCAAAAAAAATAAGCAAGAGATTACTGATTTTTCCATCCTACACTTGGCTGATGCTGGAAATACAAGTTTCTAGGGAGCTTTAGCAAAGTCGAGTTCTATATCAGATATAAAATATTATATCACCAAAGAGATGCAGACGAAATTTTAAGCACGTGGATTGGCATATATTTGCCTTGAGATTCTGATGCAACTAAAAATGCCCCTGCAGTAGGCTCCAGAAAAACCAGCGCAAAAGATTCAATTATTTTTTAAAACCATTTACAGAAAATCAAACCTCATATGATCATGAAATGCACCTACTCCACATTATTAACAGTAATGAAATTGAAAAAACATTTTTCCAAACATCAGATTGTTCTCATCTCAACTCAGTATGTGTAAACAGATCATTAGCATGATCTCACGTCAACCACATGCTGCAAGTGTAAACATAGATGGACATGCAAAAAAATAACAGAATACTAAGCAAAAAGAAAAATCAAAAGCATAATCCACTTGCCAATTGCACTTTATCTGGTTTGTTTATTTTAGAACCACGTCGGCCTCCACCCTTGTCACTGGCATCTGAAGCAGAAGCTGCTGAGAACAGACTTTCAAGCTCTGATATATCAATTTCAGGAGCCCTACCAAGAACTTTCATCATGTGACATCAGAATTTTACTAGCGATCCCAAGCAAAACAAAAACCCATAAGTTTAATAATAAATGACATCATGTAACAAGTCAAGCACCAGAATTCTACAGGAGAAACAATGGAAGCAAAGGAAATCAATGATTAACCATAAAAAGACTTCACTAAGTCTTTTGCCGAGGAATCCCAAGAAGCATACTATGGTGAACCACAAAGCTAGAAATGGCAAGCAAAGCATCACCACAGGAAATGAATATTTGATTTAAGAAACGTTAATGGAACAATTCATGAATTTGCACAAAAAGGTTCTGCACTATCTTAAAAAGTTTCAAATCCACATACCTTGACTGATTTTCCTGTTTTTGAGAATCAGCCCATAAACTTCCCTGCATTGCACGTGTAACTTTCACCCAGTGTAAAGGCTTTAATGAAGCTCTCTTGAGGGGAATTGAAGAACCCGCAGAAAATCGACCTTTTCCATGACTGGTTAATCCCAAAGAGGTTCTTCCCCTTCCAGTTGCAGGAGCTGGCGGGGGTGGGGCATTGGGACCCTTTGCTCCAGGTGGTGGGGGTGGACCTGGTGCTACCCCATAACCTGGAGGTGGAGGAGGGGCACTAGGAGGCTTTGATACGTGTGGGGGAGCTGGAGGAACCAAACCTTGTCGAGGGCCTCCTGGAGGAGGTGGAGGTGGTGGTGGTGGTGTCCTAGTGATGGTGGTGGTAGCACTAGTTTTATGCCCTACAGGAGGTGGAGGAGGGGGTGGCGGACCTAGTGGCCTATTAGTAGTAGCAGTGCCGGTGGATGGTAGTCGTGGCAGTGGTGGAGGAGAAGGTGTTGGGGGAGAGGGCCGACTGAATGTAGAGGAACGAGGGGGTGGCAGTGGAGGGCCCTTAGAAGGGATGGAAGGGGAAGGAGGAGGGGGAGGTGGCGGCGGTGGTGGTGGAGGGCCCTTAGAAGAGATGGAAGGGGGAGGTGGCGGCGGTGGTGGAGGGCCTTTAGAAGAGATGGAAGGTGGCGGTGGCGGTGGCGGTGGCGGTGGCGGTGGTGGGCCTTTAGAAGAGACATAAGGGGGTGGGGGTGGTGGTGGCGGCGGTGGCGGAGGGCCCTTAGAAGAGATGGAAGGGGGAGGTGGTGGAGGTGGTGGAGGAGGTGGAAGTCTTTTTTGTGAGGTAGATAGAGGTGGAGGTGGAAGAGGAGGTGGTGGTGGTGGTGGTGGTGGTGGTGGTGGAGGATATCTAATTGAATTAATAGGGGGAGGTGGTGGAGGCGGAGGAAGAGGTGGTGAAGGCCCTTTACTAGAAGTAACAGAGTTAGGTGGAAGTGGAGGTGGAGTAGGTATATGGGGTGGAGATCCTCTACTAGAATTACTAATAGGAGGTGGAGGAGGAGTTGGTGGAGGCGGCAGAGTTCCTCTACTAAAACTAATAGAGTGAGGTAGAGGTGGAAGTGAAGGTGGTTGAGGGACACTTTTACAAGAAACAGCAGAAGAAGGTACTGAAGACGGTGGAGATGGGGGTGAACAGGGTGGAATTTCTTTATTTGGAACTGAGGATTGTAGATGAAGAGATGAGGAAACAGGTTCAACTGGCAATTTATTTGAAGATGATAAAGCAACATTTACATCACTTTGACTATCAGTTTCAGAGGGAGAAAGAACTGACTCTAAAGTCTCTGATATTAATGGCTTCAATGGATCCTCAGAAGGCTTGAGATCAAATGCTTCACCTGAAGCAGGATCCTGGGACAAGGGATCATCTAGGAAATTCATCCCTGGTACAGTAGTATATGTTAGGTTATTAACCTTTTCAGAGTCCAGAAAGTCCAGACTATCAGCGATACTAGATGCATTGTTTTCTTCTTCGGAATCAAAAGGTGATGAACATGTACTTGGTCTACTTTGTAATATAGACAACTCTTTCGCATCATTCAAGACAGAAAGTTGCTTAAGTAACCATAAAGCGGTATCATCACCACTATCAACCCATTCAACTCCATTGAAAAGTTCTTGAACCCGGGAGAAAGCTTCAATCGGCAATCCACCTTTCTCCTCACCATTTAAAGTTGCAGTTGGAGCTTTTGGGGGAGACATACTCTCAACCTCACCAAAAAGAACCTGAACATTGGAAAAATGATTTTTTTTTATGAGATATGTGGGTGACATAGACATATTAATCAACAGCTAAATATAGTTTTCTGTGAAATATCCACCTCGGCTCGAAAGCCTTTTGGATATCGCGCCTTTGAATCCCAAAGAATGTCCAAGTTCTCATAGTTTAGCATCAAGATGTTGGATCGAACAAAAGCAGTATTGAACATTATACGAAACATCATAACTTCCCTTTCAGGATCCAAATCTAAATGGACGCACTCCAAGACAACATCCCCTTGCACCAAACATTGAATATCAATCTTAATCACATCACTGTCCTTCTGCAATCAAGAATCAGAATAAAGAAAGAACATATGTCAGCACCCACTTATACGAGTAGGACAGTAGATGCTTTTATCATATGGTTCCTGAAAATGTAAAACTTGTTACCTGCCGATAATGGCGAAGACTTCTACTTTTCTTGGGCATGGAATATATCATTTGGGTTGACAACCCACCCTTGCTAAGGAGATTTCTACCAAAAATACGGACAAATGGCCGGCATCCATTTTGAGTGTCAAACCTTGGAATAGCACGTAAAATAAGACAATCAAGCGAAAGAGTTCGTTCAGGAGGAGGCCATTCGGGAGATATATTTCTTCTTGATATGTACTGGAGGTAACGAAGCTGAGAAGGAAATGGGTTTAGTGGTGACAATAGTTGTAACAAACCTTTAGGAGCCTCTCGATAAACCATTTCAAGAATCCTTTTTTCTCCACTATGCAACTTTCTAAATATCAACAAGCTAGCTAAAAGCAAAGCCAAAAGCGACCAACCCCCTCTCTCACAGTGAAGCAAAATAACGTTCTGGTGATTCCCACGGGCAAGCCAACTCTCACAGACACACAGAAAATGATTGATCAAAGAAAATGGTAGGATGGGACACCCCTCATACTGTCGTGGATAATCCATGACTGCAACATCGTACTGACAAAAAATTTCTGCAAACTGGCTCCTTTTCTCGCCCTCTCGGAAATTGAATGCAAGAAAGCATGACTCAGGTAATTCTTCATGTAATTCGGTTATGATTTCGTGCAGATAAAGTTGGTATATTCCCTCGGGCAAAACTTCCGTTGAAAAGCAAGAATCAAAAACTGCAGAAACACAAAAAAAAACAAACACACACACACACAAAACAAATGAAAATGTGTATATTAACATTCATCACCAAATATAGATATAAACCATAGTAACATCAAAATTAAGCATGAATCTTTCGTACCATATACTCTACCAACAAATTCAAGCAAGCCATCTGGAGGTCTTCTGTAAAAGAATCTACTGAGGAGTGACATTCTTTGCCAATAATATTACAACTGGGTCTATCCCAATAAGCCACAACCTAAAGAAAGTGAATCCAAAACTGAGATTTTAATGTACAACTCTCAAATACAATTAACAAATAAACTACTCTTTCGTTTGGTTACTGAGAAACTGATAGAAAAGAAAAGAAAAAATTGATACCGCATTCAGTACATCCGGTACTTAACATCAACTCATCAAAATACTAACCAACTAAAGCAATAATACTATTTCAGCTTTAGTTAAGCTGAGTAATTTCCATTTTCTGTAAACAAAACAACAAAACAAATGCACAAGATTCAAAATTTCATTTATTTTCCCGAACTTTCTTGTGAATAAAACAAGGGTGGGTAAAGTGAAGTTCTGCAGATACAGAACTTGTTCAAAGCCAATGCTCAGCAGCACAACAAACTAGGTTTACTAATACACACGGACACACGTACATATTGAGAGAGAGAGAGAGACAGAGACAGAGAGACAGAGAAGGGGGAGAGAGAAAATTTGAATTGAAAGAACCTGAGCTCTGCGGCTGTGGAATTACAGGAGGAACCGGAGATTCCGGTGAATTGTCGACAGAGTAGCTTTCGTATCCACCGGAAATCATAGGGTTGGACCGGTGGGTTTCATTGTGTGGGGTGAAGCTTTACCTTCGAGTTTGGAATTTCAAGTTTCAAAGTCAAAATTGGTAAATTTAATATTTCTTTTTCTCTTAAAAAAATTACACTTTATACCGCTAAATATTTAAGAATTTTTACTTTATACCCTTAAAAATAAATTTTTTACATTTTATCTCAATATATTAAATATTAAAAATATTACAGTGCATAGATACTAACTTCTCATTACACTTACCCAAAAAAAAAAACTTCTCATTACAAGGTAACATTGTCTCCGAGCAACCTTCTAGTGGTAGTCAAGTCATGTGCTGCAAAGGAGGCAGTCACCCCCCATCCAGTAGCAGTAGTATAAAATAGTTATTGTAGTTTAATTAATTACTATCCCTCTCGTGTATTTTAAATTTCACCAGGAAAAAAAAAAAGTCAATAGGATGATTTTTTGACAAATGGACAACATAAATTAATATAAGGGCCACATTTTAATAATTTTAATACATTGAGGGTTCAACATATAAAATTTAATTTTTAAGGGTATAAAATAAAAATCTTTAAATCTTTTAAAATGCAACGAAAAAAGCCCCCAAAATTGCACGAATTGTCTATTTGGGTTTCTAAGCTTGGCCTTGAGGAATGGGCCAAACAAGTTATGGAACCAAGTAAAACATGGCCACAACAACCCAAACTTGTAGGCCCAATTACAAATTGAACCCAACATTGAGGCTCAAACTCTCACTGGGATTGGGCCATATAAGCTCAACCTTTTTTTATACGAAAAATTGTGAGTGCGTACCTTTTAAACTACTTAATTGTGAGAAAATATATTTACTAAAATCTTTTGTATATAATTACCTTTAACTTGAAATGTATTGTAATTAAGTACTTATTGACAAATTTTCAAATATTTTCTTCATTAAAATACCATTTTCCTTATTTCAAAGGTTGTTAGTTTGTCAGTCCTATTTTTTATGGAATTTAATTTATTATATTAATAGTTTCATACTTTAAGGGATTGAAAATTTTGAAATTCAAAATTATAAATCAGATCGAATAAAACTTAACAGTTTGGCTCATATTTTTTCAACCTCAATATTTGAAAATGAATATTCCTTTACTCTGTCAACGTTTTTATTCTTCATCAGCAACAAAATCTGCAACGTCTGTGTTCCTAATGTTTTCAAATAAACACATGACACACACAATCACCCATTTGTAATTAAAGAAATTCAGGCAATTACAAACTACTCTTGCACAATTTTATAGTGAGTAATCAAAATAGACAAATATTAAATTGTTGTTTCAACATAATTTACCGTAATAGTTAACACTGACACTGTGACACCATAGTGAGCATTCACAATGTAACGCCACATTTGCTTACCTGCACAATGATAGTGAAATTCAGTGAATGTTGTTTGATAATCGACATTTGAAATGAATGCTACTCCGACGTCAGCAAAATCAGAACGAACGCAACTACTTCAACATCTTCTCCATTTTTTGAAAGCTTTTGTGTTTGATTTGGTTGAATACTGAATGACTTTTGGGAGGGTTTTGTTTAAATGTTGAAATCTGTTCTAGGAGGTTTCTACGTCTTATTAGTTGTCGAATTTTTGTGATGTTATTGCATGAAATCCAACATTTTCTGATTATATTCCTTCCGCCTATTTGTATATCTATGTGGGTATTTTGGTCCTTCCAAAAAAAAAAAAAAAAAAAAATTAACTGTACACTTTTTTCACAATTAGTTGTTAAAATATGTACCGGCCTATAAAAACCTCTTTTTCATAACTCAAGTTTGGTAACCATGAGTTTTTGTTTTTGTTTTTTTCATTTTATTGCAAAAATAAATAAATAAAACGCATTTGATGATTGTTTTCGTTTTTTTTAACTGCTTCATTTTGAAAACAAGACTAAAATATAGAAACATCCAAAATGATATTTTTGAAAACATCAAAAAAAATGTGTGTTTAAAAGGAAAGTTAATGAGGTTTGCATTTTCATCCCACTTAGTAAAAATAAAATAAAATTCTTGCTTGAGTATATAAGAAATCCTTCTCTATTTTGGTAGTGATTATGAATTTTGGGGAGTGGTGATAGAGTTGAGCAGTGGCGGTTTTGGGTGGTGGTGAGTTGGGTGGCTGTAGGTTTCAAGTGATTGGGGTGGGTTTCGGGGATGAAGGGTGGGTTTAGGGGTGGGTTTCGAGGATGGTGTTGGGGTTGGGCTGTACTAGGTTTCAAGGGATGGGAATGAGTTTCGGTGGTGCTGGATTTCAGGGGATGGGAATGAATTTCGATGGTGGTGGGTTTCGAGGATGGGGGTGAGTTTTGAGGATGAGGGTGGAATTGAGTGGTGGTGGGTTTCAAAGAATGGGGGTGGATTTCGGTGGGAGTGAGTTTCGGGAATAGGGGTGGTGAATTTCAGGAGATTGCTAGGTATTGCAAAGAGGTTGTGGGGGTGATTTTCAATGGTGGTGGTGTTGGGTGATTAATTTTTGGTATAATAACAAACATATTTTTTATTTTTGTTTTTATGTTTTTTTAAATATAAATGACTACCAAACATATTTTATATTTTTAATTTATAATTTTTATCACAAAAAAAATAAAAAATAAAATTTATTTTTTTTTATAAGAAAAATATAAAAACAAAAAACGTTATTAAACCCATCCTCAGTTTTTTTTTCCTTTTTTTTTGGGTACTTTTGAGTTGGAGCTAAGTAAATGCATAATCTATTAAAAAATAAAATTATAAAAAATAACAAGACATGAAAACTTTAGAAGTATCAAAACTTTATTGAAAAAAAAATAGAAGTGCCAAAAAAATAATAGTTTATTTTTTTGAATAAAAACTGTACCACATCTCTTACATAAAAAATTTTGATCCACGTAACATTATTGGTATTCTTTTCCCATATGTATAAACCACTGATGAAGCCAAAGGAGAAGAGTTTCAGGAAACACTGATCTCTCTCTGTTACATGCATGCTGTGTACCCTAACTTTATGAAAATTAACGATACCCTTTTATAATTTCTGGGGAATTGTGCGAAGACCTTGGGGTACTGTTTAATTTTTGTTTTTTTTTGCATGGGAACATCACTGCAGATATGGTTTGGTCAGTTCTCAAGATCTGTAAGGAAAAAAGAAAAGAGAAGAAAAGCTGCCAGTTGATATTACCTCTAATCATTTCACTTCAATCAACACAGAGCCAAAATTGGACTCTCACTTTTGTCCATGGGTTACTTTTTCTAGGTGGGAAAGTAGATTTTTTTTTTTGTTTAAAATTATTAACAGGTACATCCAGGCCGATAATTAAACTTAAAAAATTATTTAAATTCAATTTATTTAAAAAACAAATCGATCACGAATATTTATATTTATATATAATCGAGTCGGATATTTCAAACTTATTTTTAAACCAATTTAAAAACATATTCGATGTCTATTCGTTTAAAAAACGAATTAAGCTTGAATAAGCCCAAACTGAGTTGAACTTGAGTAACTCGGTTCAATTATCAGTCAGTCCCGTACACACAACACATGCATTAGTTAAACTTAAAGTTTATTTGAGAATTTACGTGTTAATCGGTTTTAACTCACAAAATTAATTCTTTCATATTAGCATTTGCTTGTTGAGCTTAGTAAATGGCGATACCTAATGAACAATAAAATTGTGCTCATCATTTTTATATAACCAAATGATACAGTGGTGAACGAATTTATTTATTTAATAAAAATAATTATATCACATAGATTTAATATCCACAATTAAGTAAACATAATAATATTATTAGTTGTTAGTGATACAATCCATCCTCTCAATAATAGCCACCTGGCAACTGTCCTCTTTTCACACCATTATGGGGAGTCGGAATATTGATGATTGTGATAGAATACAATAGAGTAGAAAATTTAATAAATATTGATACCGTACTTTAAATAAGTGATAAAAATTTCTTATATTCACGATCTCGATGAAATAATGACACGTGAATTAATAGAATTTGAAGAGGATGTCGTAGGCATTGCTCTGGGATTTGATTACGATACAAAAAAAATAAATAAAAAAAATTGCATTATATCTCAATTTGTGGTCACTTTTATTATATTTGTGGGTCATTTTACCACTACCATGGTACTCTAAAAAATAGTAAAATAGTTATCACAATAATAGTAAAAATATCTACAAATATAGTAAAAACACTCACAAATATAATAAATTATTTTGTACCAAAGATGAGTAATAAAAATAATTACTATAAATATGACAAAAATATTTGTAACAGTAATAAAAATACCCGCAAAAATAATAAATCATCCACAAAAAAATAGTAAAATTTTTAATTATAAAATAATTTATAAAAATATCCATTAAAATAGTAAAAATTAGAGATGCGGTGACCAATCCATTGCTGTGAATTTGGAATCAAATTAATATTGTATAAATAGTAATGCTATGTTGGCTAAATTTTTGGATCAAATTTAAAACTCAAATGATATGACAGTATATTATTTTGAGTCTTTATTAGGACCCAAATAATATGATACCAAATAAAAAAACCCAAGTCAGCTGTTATGTCATTTGAACTCTAAATTTAATTTCAAAATTTGATCAATATAAAATTACCCTTACTCTTGGATTAATGGTTGATGACAAATGGCATGTTCTACACTCCAGAGGATGGGCCGCTTTTTAATGTCGGGTCTCGTTATTGACTAGCAATAAAGACCCAACGGTGAATATAATCTCATTAATGACTACAAAAAAACATAAAACACAGTTTTTAGAATAAATATTTTTTTTCATTATTAATCTCAATATAAAAGTATTGATTAATATTTATTAACCTTAGTATTGATTAAAACACAATTTTAATCTTTATGTTTTCTGTTTCTTTCTTCATTATTTAATATAAAAGTCTACGCAAAATTAATATATCCAAAAATGTAAAGTAAAATTGTATTTTCATTCAAATATAGTAAAATCAGAAAAATTGAAATAAGATAAAAAAAAAATTGTAAT